AGGACAACTGTGCCAAATGAAATAAGCCACTCACAAGAGGACAAAGACTGTTTGATTCCATTTATCTATGCACATAGAGTAGACGCATGCAGGGAGAGAAGATGGAGAGAGAGAAGAATGCAATGTTAACGTCATAGTCAAGACAGTGGCCTTTTCTAGGAGGGAATTCATGCTAAGTAAAGACTCAGATGTGACTTCCGACCTGGCAACTCAGTCTTGATCATTTAAAAGTAATTAACAGTAGACAGTAGTGCTCATGATCTGTAGTTATTGAAATGCAGGACTCATTCTAGAGATCAGGATTTGGACATGAGGAAGCTATGCCCAGAGATTCTTTCTTTGTTTAAGATTCCAATCCTGTTCTTTCCAACAGGGCAGCTGTCAGTCACATGTATATGCTGAGCACTTAAAATGTGGAATCTGAATTGAGGTGTGTGTGTGTGTGTGTGTGTGTGTGTGTGTGTGTGTGTGTGTGTGTGTGTGTGTGTTTGAGGTATTGGGGATGGAACCCAGGACCTGGACTTCACATATGCTAGCAGGTACTCTACCACTGAGCCACACCCCAGCCCCTCACTGGGGGATTCTAGGCAGGTGATCTACCACTGAGACATGCCCTCCAGCCCCATAACTGATTCCTACCAAAGAATATTAAAGAGGATTTTAAAATCTTACTATTTTGGCAAGTAGACACAGATCCTTGTCTGGCAGTAGTCAGACATTGTTCATTAATGGGGAAGAATCAATGAAAAGCTCCCATGAACTACAGCAACAACCCATATCAGTGTTACACAGGTTTGATCTTTTCTTTTCTTTCTTTTTTTGGTGGGAGGGTGGCTTTGAGACAGGGAGTTCCACTATATAGCTCTGGCTGTCCTGGAACTCACTCTGGAGACCAGGCTGGTCTTGAACTCACAGAGATCCACCTGCCTCTGTCTCCTGAGTGCTGGGATTAAAAGCATGTCACCACTATCTGGCAGATTTGATCTTTTCTGTTGTTTTTTTAAATAAATTTTCACTATGTAGGCCAGGGTAGCTTGGAATTCAGTATGTAGCTTAAGCTGGTCCAGTTTATAATCTTCCTCCTTCAGCCTCCTTAGGTCTAGGGTTACAGATGTGTACATCTGCATTAGTATTGCATTAAGAATAGAAAGACTTCCTCTTTGAGTCATGTAGACTAAGAGCAAGCCCAAATTTGAATTCTCTACTTTTATCTCTGTGCCTTCCATCTGTCTGTGGCCTGTTTGTTGTGTGTGTCTGAAGTCTGTCCCTAACGAAGAGCTTTGCTACACAGCATGAGAAAGCATGAGGGATTCCTTTCTCTAGAAATCTTTAACCAAGTTCTACAAGGTAAGAAGTTACTGTATAGATCCCAGTTGGCCCAGAATAGCATGGAAACTACAAACAGTTGTTATCAGTCTTTATACCCACATGTTGCTTTGAACATTTATGGGGTATTTATTTTGTTTAAGGTTGCTTTCAGCAAATGATTACAACCTGCACCCCCATCATTCTGGGTCAGGGACATGGGAGAGTACATAATTTAATATTGAAGCTATGCCTTTAGCTTAGGTTGTAAATGCTGATTACATGGGAATTGCAAGGCATGGTGAGGTCGGTTACATTGTTCCCTTAAAGGCAAGTTAAACAGGCTGAGTACACAGTAAGGCAGCAGGATAGGTACATAGTTTTGAATGATTCCCAGGCACGTTATTAACTTGGATGCAAGGTCCAGCAAAAGTTCAGTTTCTGAAGGCAAGAAGGATTTTCAGAAAAAGACATTTCCACATACTTCATGTGGTTAATAAATTTGAGTTTAATCTCATTCCAACAGACAAGCAATGTGTCCCACACAGGCTCTCCCAAGTCTCAACTATTCATGATGAGTTGTTGAGCATGGGAAGATGTTGCTCCAAAAGTGTGAAGTGCTAGACACGATGGGTAAACGCTGAAGATCTGTTGTACAGCATTGTGAATGTAGTTCATAGTCATGTCTTGAGTACTTGTATTGATGACTGACCACCCATAGTCTCAGGAGGTGGGAGGAAGAGGTGGTAAGGATCTCAAGTTCAAGGTCTTCCTTGGCTATATTGTGGGTCAGAGGCCAGCCTGGGCTCTATGAGACCCCGTCTCAAAAACAATCCCCACCCCATCAAAAAAAAACACCTAAAAACCAACGGTAAACAACCCCCAAAACAAGACCAAAAAAGTCCCCTTCAACAAAAATCTGAAAAACAACAAAGCAAAACCGAACCCAAATCATACCAAAACAAGAACAAAAAGAAAAAAAGAAAGAAAAGAAAAAGGAGAAAATTGCTGAGGAAGCCTGCCTCCCTATCTCCTTTCTCCCTATCCCCTTTTGTCCTTTACTTTTTCTGACCTCCTAAAATCAACCTTCCTAATGCTGAGACCTTTTAATACACAGTTCCTCATGTGATGCAGCTGTCTTTGAGTCATTTCTGTTCCAGTAAGTGACCCCTCACCCCATATTCTTGTTAGCAACCCCAATACAACTCATCGGTTCACCAGGTTGGACTTTGGTAGTATCCGTACTTTGGTGTGTTGTGGGTTCCCTTGTTATGCCCAGATTGGGACCCCAAAGACAAACCACCACAGACCTTAGGTTCAGAATGCAATTAGCATGGTTTATTTCTGTTTGTTTACAAGCCGCGGACAGGGAAGCTCATCCAAAGCACTCACTCGCAGTCGTGAGGCCAGGAGGAACTTGCTTTTTCTTTGTGTGGCTGGCTTTTTAAAGGCAAAATCCACAAGCCCTTCAGGGGGGTTGGGGGAGTTTTGCACGGGTGCAACTCGGATTGGTTTATCTTTATCTCTGTTCTCTTTTAATTGGGTGAGGGTATGTAACCTTTGAATTTACTGGTTGGTGGTTACAATTTATTACTTTGGGGGCAGTCCAGCACAAGTCCCAGGCTTTGTCCTTGAGCCACCATGGGGGCTGGCTGGTCAAGCACGTACTGCACATAACTCTAAGTTGGTGAGGGGCCCCAGAAAGTAAACATCTGGCTAAACTTTGAGCAGTCTTTTGTTCATGGCCCTTCCAGAAACTGCTTGCTCAAGCCTCAGGAAACTGAAATTGAGGCCTGATCTCTGAGAGAAGACTGAGCAGCCTGTTATGGCATCTGCTTGGTCCTTTCACCCTGTCCCCTCAGGAAAAGTTTTGTCACCCAAGCCCACACTCATGCTCACCCAATCAACCCTAGTTAAATTCAGCGAGTCATAAATTAAAAGAAACACTTGCTGAAAGAAAGAACGAAAAAGAAAAGAAATCGTTGAGAGACATTTTAAATGTTTACTTCACAGGCTGCTAGAAACCTAATTTTTAGGACCCCACAGCAGGATCCATATTGCCACCTAGTGGCAATAATCTGAAACTGCAACAGAATCTACCTCTAAGTCTTTCCTGAAGCAGGCTTGAAGAGGTGTCTGAGGAGGCTGCCTGGAGGTATCCGTTATTAGAGAGCATCCAGAGGTACAAGGACTTGTTTCCCAATGGAATGTACTAGTTACTCTTTCGTTGTTGTGAAAATGCCTGGCAAAAGAAACTTCAGGAAGAAGGGTTGGTTTTGGTTCAGTTTGTAAGGTGTAGTTTATCGTGGTGGGAAGGCATGGCAGCCGGAGCTTGAAGCAGCTGGTCATCTTGCATCCACAATCAAGAAGCAGAGGATGGGGAAGGGGCAGGGAGAGAGGGAGAGGAATAGGGAGAGGGGAAGGGAGGGGGGTGCTCAGCTTACTTTGTCTGTTTTGTTCAGTCTGGTGTTGCCCACATTTAGGGTGATCCTTTCCACCTCAGCTAACCTAATGTGGATGATCTTTCACAGAGGAGTCCAGAGTCTCTTAAGGGACTTTTAGATCCTGTCAAGCTGACAATCGATATTAACCATCATGGGGGATATGGGGGAAAGGACAGTTCAACTTTTCCTTGTTTCCTGGTTCCATTTCCTTGGAATCCCTTTTCCTATCCTGTCACTATAAGACAGTGACTATACTTGGTAACTCAGTGTCCAATTTTCACTTCCTTGGAAGATTCTCTTCTCCTTCTGGTGCCTTTCTAGGTACCTAACCTCTGTGATTATTCAGGTTGTAACACACATGACAAAAGCTTAAAATAGGGACATACTGATTTCTAGCCATGCCCCCATGACCTCGCATGTGTTGGCAAGATGCTTAGTCATTTCCTGGGCCGTACCTGTGTAATCTGTGTGCTGTGTGGTCATGTAATTTGTGTGCAGCATGATCACGTAATCTATGCACATGCGTGGTGTAGTGTAGGCCCATATGTGCATGCGTGGGGGGAGTCCATGAAAGGTGGATCCCATTACCCTCTCTTCCCTCTTCCACACATGTCTTTCAAACAGGCCTGATCACATCCTCTCCTGTCCCTCCCTTCTCCTAATAAACTCTTATAGTGGGTTTTGTTGTGCCCCATGACTTTTTCTCACAGGGTAAACAGCGCCGCATAAAACTAACACATACCTTCATATAATAAAGACAGTGTGTAGCAAGCCCACAGCCAACATCAATCTAAACTGAGAGAATCTCAAAGAATCTCCTCTAAAATCAGAAATAAAAACCAGTGTCTTCTGAAAGATAAACAGCACTGTTTGGTGGCGATGGTTACTGGTGGAAAAGTCAGAAGCCACGGCCATGATTACTAGAGTTACAGAGAGCTTTATTAGAAGGGAAAGGTGAGGGAGGGGGGGGGAGCTAGGTCTGGGGGGGAGGGGGAGATGGCGGGAGCAGAGCAGAGAGCAGGGAGCAGAGAGGGAACACAGAGAGAGTAGAGAGCAGAGAGAGAAGGCACAGACTGCGTGACCATGGCAGGTACGTAGTCGTCAACGCCCCCGATGACGTAAGATGCAAGACCCCAAGCTGCACATTTACAGGATCCTAACATCTACTCTCTCCACACTTATTCTAATAGTTCTTGAAGTCTTAGCTAGAACAATGAAACAGCTGAAATCAGGGGGATGGAAATCAGAAAGGAAGAAGTAAAAGTATCTTTATTTGACAATGATATGATTTTATGTGTACAAGACCCTAAAGACTCCACCAGGAAACTTCTCCAGCTGGTAAACACTATCAGTAAATTAATAAGATACAATATTAACACAAAATCAGTAACCTTCCTATAAACAAATGACAAAACACTGAGGAAAAAATCAGAGGAACAGTCCTTTTTACAATATCCACATAAAAATCTTGGGATAAGTCTAACCGAGCAAGTGAAAGAGTTGTATAATAAAACTTTAAGATACTGTAGATAGAAATTGAAGAAGACTACAGAAGATTGGAAGCTCTTCCATGCTCATGTTTTGGTACAATCAATATTGTGAAAATGACCAAAAACAGTCTACAGATTCAGTCCAAAGCATCAAAATTCCAAGACAGTTCTTCACAGATTGGGTGAAGCTCTCAGCCGCTGCTCCAGTGCCATGCCTGCCTGCCTGCTGCCATGCTCCCTGATATGATGGTAATGGACTCACTCTCTGAAACTGTAAGCCCCACAAAATACTCTGTCTTCTACATGTTGCCTTGGTCTTGGTGTCTTATCATAAAAATAAGAACGTAACTTAGATTCATACAAATACAAATATAAATTATAAGTACATTCTCTACAGACATTTTAAAATAACTTCAAACATTAATTTATCATAATACTATATAATAATATTTTTCACTTGGCTTTTCAAACATTCATCATGTTATTTATCACTCCTTCACTAACCTCTTGAATTATCCTTCCTATCCCCTTCTCAGTTCATTTCTTTTTCTTTTTTTTTTTTAAAGATTTATTTATTTATTATGTATACAATATTCTGTTTTCATGTATCCCCACAGGCCAGAAGAGGGAGCCAGATCTCATTACAGATGGTAGTGAGCCACCATGTGGGTGCTGGGAATTGATCAGTTCATTTCTTTATTATTCCTTTATTATCCATTATTCCTGCTACCCCTTTCATATCAGAGAACTACTATTATCACACTCTCTAGAATACTTCACACTGATTTCTATAGTGGCTGTATCATTTTATAATCACCAACAGTGATTAAGAATTCTTTGCCGGGCGGTGGTGGCGCACGCCTTTAATCCCAGCACTCGGGAGGCAGAGGCAGGCGGATCTCTGTGAGTTCGAGGCCAGCCTGGTCTCCAAAGCGAGTACCAGGAAAGGCGCAAAGCTACACAGAGAAACCCTGTCTCGAAAAACCAAAAAAAAAAAAAAAAAAAAAAAAAAAAAAGAATTCTTCATTCTCCCCCTCTTTACCAGCTTTTATTGCTACATATTTTCCCAATCTTCTTCATTCTAATTAATGAAAAATGAAATCTCAGAGTTGTTTTAAATTGCATTTCTCTAATTGCTCAGGTTGTTGAACACTTGTTATGCTATTTATAGCTATTCTTTGGTGTGCTCTCTGTTCAGCTCTGTAGAGCATTTAATTATTTTTCTCTTAACTCTGATTTTTGAGTTCTTTATATATTCAGAAAATAAGTCCTCTATCAGATATAAACCTGACCAACACTGTCTCCCATTCCGTGTGATTCTCCTTCACTAGACTTGTTAATCCTATTATCCAGAGCATTTTAGTTTTATGAAGTTCCAGTTCTCAACTGGTGAATGTAATTCCTGAGTTAACGTAGTGTTAATCAGAAAGTACTTTCCTAAACCTCTCTGTCTTGCAGGATGTGAATACCAACAAAGCTGTGAGTTTGTTCTTTGAAAGGATAAACCAAGTTGACACACACTTTAGCACATTAAGCCAGAAAGAAAGAAAGGAAGACAAATTAACCAAGTCAGAGGTGAACAGGGAAATATTACAACAGATGTTAAAGAAAATTGGAGCATTATAAGGAAATACTTAAGAATCATATACTATTGTATCATTAAGTTAGGAAATGTAAAGCAAATGAAAATTCCTAACTTCACCCATAACTAATACTAAGTCAAGAAGAGATCAGTAAGTTAAACAGGCCCAATACAAACAAAGATTTTGAAATGATACTGAAAACTTTCCAGAGTACAAGATGTTCAGTACAAGATATCCATCTAGGATTCACAAGAGAATTCTACCAGACTTTTAGAGCACTACAACAAATACTTCTTAATTTATTCTAATAAAAATAGAATAAATTTTTATTAGATATATAATAAATATATATATATATATAAATAAATGCATAGGGAGGTGCACTTCCCTATGCATTCTCCAAAGCTAGGATTAATCTGAATGCCCAAACCAGGTAAAGACAAATACAAAAAGAGAATGCTATAGGCTGATATTATTGAGAAGCATAGATGCAAAAATTCTAAATAAAATACTAGCAAAAAAAACACAGGAACATAGCAGAAATATCATCTAGCTGCCATAGTACCATAAAAAAACTATGCAAGCTGACAAGTTGGAGAAACAGTCATTAATTAGTCTTATCCAGTGGTCATGCCTGTGAAGATGTTGGCTTGTGCATCCACATGGAATACACCTGCAATATAACTCTGGCACCTAAATCTCTGGAAAAAAATTGCCAAAGGAGCAGAAAGATAGTAAGAGCCAGAGGACCAGTAAGTCTGCTCTCACACTGTTTCTCCTAGAAATATATGTTAAATAAGATCTTAACAATTGCAATATCAATAGATATGCCAAAGCAAAGGGAAAGTCTTACATCTGTAACCCCTAGACCTGAGGTTCTCAACCTGTGGGTTGTAACCCTTTGGAGGGGTCAAATGCTCCTTTCACAGGGGTCTCATAATAGATATCATACATATCAGATATTTACATTATGATTCATAACAGTACCAAAATTACAGTCATTCATGGAGTAACAATGAAAATAATTTTATGGTTGTGGGTCACCACAACGTGAGGTACTGTATTAAAGGGCCGTGGCATTAGGAAGGTTGAGAACCATTGTCCTAGACAAAAAACTGCTGAGAGAATTAGCCTCTTGCAGGGATAAGCCTCCTAAAAGGTTATCCAGTATAAATTATCTTGTCATATACTCATACACAACAAAAACTGACTCAGCAGGTTTATTTACATTTGTACAAATTTCACTCTTTTCTCTTTCTCAATGTACATGTCACAGTAATAATAAAAGAAAAAGAGGTTATTGATAAGAGAGATGGGGGTATAGAATTTAATTGTGAGTGGAAAGGAAAAGGGGTAAGGGATGTGATTACATTTTAAATAAAATCTCATTTTTTTTTAAAAAAAGAAGGCAAAATAAATGTCTTCTCTGATAAACAGATATTGAAGAGATACATCATCCATCAGAATCAAATTGGCTTTATCCCAGAGATTCAGGGGTTACTCAATATATGTAATTCAACAGATGTAATGAACTATACACATGTACAGGGAGAGAAAAGTCACATGATCATTTTAATGGTTGTTAAAAAAAGGCCTTTGACATTTATCCGACATTCGTTCATGACAAAAGTCTTGGAAAGTACACTACTGGAGATAATATAACTCACCATGATAAAGGCTGTATGTTACAAACACACAAGCAGCAGCATCCTCCATGGAGAGAAATTCTAAGAGATCCATTAAAATTATGAACAGGACAGAGGTTTCCACTATCTCCCATTCCTTTCCAATACTCTGCATAAAAGAACTACAAAATGGAAAATAATTTGATTTTTCTCTATTTGGAAAAGTATATTAGACATCCACAAAACTACCAAAAAACATCTAGCCGGGCGGTGGTGGCGCACGCCTTTAATCCCAGCACTCGGGAGGCAGAGGCAGGCGGATCTCTGTGAGTTCGAGGCCAGCCTGGGCTACCAAGTGAGTCCCAGGAAAGGCGCAAAGCTACACAGAGAAACCCTGTCTCGAAAAACCAAAAAAAAAAAAAAAAAAAAAAAAAAAAAACATCTAGAAATATCACTTTCACCTAAGTGGTAAGATACAAAATTAACTAATGAAAATCCATAATCTTCACACAGAACGTAATAATAGCTAGCATGTTGGGAAGTAGATCACAGAAACACTACCTTTCACAATAGCTTCAAAATCAATGAGAATAACTAACCAAGGGAGCAATAATTCCTGCCATAAATAGTTTAAGTCTGTGAAGATAAGAGTGATGTAAACATCAGAAGACAGAAAAATCTTCCAGACCCACAGGTTGGTAGGATTAATACTGTGAGAATGACCATCCTACCAAAATCATTTTATAGATTCTAGCCAATCCTAATCAAAATCCCCAAGATATTATTCAAAGAAATGGAAAAAGAAATCCTAAAGATTACATAGAAGCACAAAAGACCCTAAACAACCAAACAATACTTAGTAAAAAGAACACTTTTAGACTTAGGGAGGAAAGGATATATTTCATAGTAAAGCTTGTAGTCTATCATCTTGGGAAGTCAGGATAGGAACTCAAGGCAGGAACGTGGAGGCAGGAACTTATGCAGAGGCAGGAACTTATGCAGAGGCAATGCAGGAGTGCTTTGCTCTGGCTTGCTACTCATGGTTTGCTCATCCTGCTTCTTATAGCACTGAGGACCACCCAACCAGACATAGCACTGCCCACATTGACTTTTTCCTTCTCCATCAATCATCAGTCAAGAAGATGTCCCCACTGACCGGTTCATAGGCTAAACTAGTGGAGGTTTTTTCTCAACTGAAGTTTCATTTCTTGGATGACTTTAGTCTGTGCCAAGTTGACTAGCCAGAACAGTGGATAATATCATTTTCCCACTTTATTGGATTACATTACACCCAGGCACTAACAATACATATTTGAGTGTTTGTGAAGCCATTTCCACAGACGATGAAATGATAGTTGAAAAGACCTCTGAATACTGGCTTTTTTTCACCCATAATATGCAGTCTTGGGTGAAATGTAGGGAAAATTAAGATAGCTGAAGGTCAAGTTAAACTCCCTGCATTCTGGTCTACATAGACGGAATTAAGTAGCCTCATTCTTCATTACCACCATGCCATCTCTGCCACGATGGACATGACCTACTCAATCTGGAAGCCAAATTAAAACCTTCCACAAATCAGTTGCTTCCTTTCAGGTGCTATTTAACTGTGAGGAGTGATGTAAAGAAAGAACCTTACCTAGAGAAGGAAGCCAAATGAGCTGAAGAAAAAAAGGATAGAAATAGTGCAGGCAGAAGTCCTACCACTCCCATTTGCCTATAATAAGCTCCCATATTTAAATGAGCCTAAGGCATAATACACTTAGCTATGATAAGTACTTTAAACATGATAACAGGGCACAAACATTCAAATATTACCTTTTCTATGTCCAGATGAAAGTTGTGATGGAAGAAATTCAGCAAAATAATACCATTTTATTTGCTTCTAAAATACATAGGAAATATAAATAATGGAATCCAGGTGGTTAAAACCTCTAAAAGTTCACTTAACTTTAACATAGAAAGAAATGGAATAAGATGCTAAAATATAGAAATAACTCCTGTGTTACAAGATTAATAGTGTTAACATTGTAAAAATGACTCTATATCCAAAAGTAATACTGAGATTTGATAGTATTCCTACAAATTACATATATGTGTGTGTATGTGTGTGTGCATGTATATATAATGAATATATCTATATATAAAATGAACCCCTCCATTTTTTTTATAGTCACAAATGACAGGATATAGTCAAATGGATACTTGTCAAAAAGACAAACAAATCTTACTTAGACAGTATAATGTAGGAAGTGCTATAACATATGATTTTAAATAGTATTACAAAGATATCAAAATGAATCTAGCACATTCAATTGCATACACAAGTGATAAGACAAAATAGATACTTTGGGTGATTGGAAAACAAAAACACAAATATAGTATTATTTTCTTTGTGAAATATATATGTGTGAATACAAGAAAATATCATATGGATGTACTCAAAAAAAATCATTCTGAGTTAGGTAACCCAGACCCAGAAAGCCAAACCTGGTATGGATTCAAGTAAATGATAATCAAGCTACAATACACAAGCCCAGAGAGGTTAGATAAAGAGCCAGGCTCTAGGGAGGAAGCATGGATCTCCCTGGGAACAGAAACAGAATAGATTTTGCAGGTGGTCTTGAGGCATGTGAAGACAGTAGTAGACGGGATCGGTTTGGAGGGAGGTGGAAGGAAAGAATGCAGGGAGAGACAGATGGAATTGAGGGCATTTGGAAATCTAGGGCAGTGCGAACTTCCTGGAATTTATGAGGGTGATCCTAGTGAGGGCTCCTAGTAATGGAGGACATGGACATCTTTTGTAGCCATGCTTCCAGAGGTGGGGCTGGTTTGCATTCGGTTGAATTGTTGGCCTGGGTGGGTGGTGGTGGGGCCAAGCTGATGTGAGGACAGAGGGTCTCTACAGGAAAATGGACAGCAGGACCCTGTTGCCGAAGACAACATCCACACAGCTCACTGAATGCACAGAGGTTGAGCTGGTACCCGCATGGAGTCTCCACTAGTCTCTTTGGCATGAGAAGGTACTCTGCAGGCTACAGAAAGAGAAACCTGGACTTCAACCCATCCACAAAACCCTCGACCTACAATCTGTCCTGCCTGCAAGATGTGCTGGGGCAATGGTGGTACAGAACTTGTGGCAGTGGCCAACCAATATTTGGTTTAACTTGAGGCCCAGTCCATGAGAGGGAGTGGGTGCCCTATACTATCTGGATGGCCAGGAACTGGAGACTGGATAGTCCAGAGACCTAGGGTCGAATCAAACACTACAGGCAAAAAACAAACCAACAAAAAACAATGAAATGATTCCTAATGATATTCTGCAATACTCACAGATCAGTGCTTTGTCCAGTCATCATCAGAGAGGCTTCCTCTGGCAGCACATGGGAGCAGGTGCAGAGACCCACAGCCAGACGTTATGCAGACAGAAAGTTTCAAGTGGAGGTAAACATCCAAATATTATTTTATCCACATTATCCTGTCATATGAACTATGCCTTCTGCAGTTGTGAATACAAAAAAATTTGACCTCCCAATTTGATACTTTTATACTACTCCATTTCATTGTTTCATTTCTTCATATGAGCAGCTCCAGATTCAGGGTTTTTATCAAGGCCAGGTAAATTTACTCTATAGTCTAGATAAGAAAATTTTGTGTTTGAAAGATTATTTTCAATTCTGAGAAATAACATAAATGAACTCAAGGCAAAGATCACATGATGATCTTAAAAGATGTAGAAAAAGCCTTTGATAAAATCCAACATGCTTTTTTGATAAAAGTCCTATGGTACCTCAATAGAATGGAGGTTTCTACGACAAACCCACAGGCCGTGTCAGGTTCAGTGGAGAAGAACTTGAATCAATCCCAATCAAATCTGAAAATAATCAGTGCTGTCCACTATGCCCAGTCCTTTTCATTATTGTATTTGATGCATTAGCTGGAACCAGGAAGCCTTAAAAGGAAATTAAAGACATACCAATAGGAAAAGAAAAAAAATTAAAGTATCCCTACTTGTCAAGGATATGATATCATACATAACATTTTCCAAATATCCTGCCAGAAAACTTACAGAGATGATCAACAGTCTCAGCAAAGTGGCAGGTCACAGAATCACCTTACAAACTCAATAGCTATTCTACACACCACCAACAAACAGGCAGAGAAAGATCATGGAGACACTGCCATGCAGAGTAGTCTAAAGAAGACAGAATACCTGTGCAGAAGCTTCTAAGTGTTATGTTGGCTTATGCATCAAATCTTGTTTATTTCCCAAGCGACTGCATTCTTGTTCAGAAGGTCCTTCTCTGTAATTATAGTTTGAAATTCACTCCTTACATTTTCATCTAGCAATCTCCAGAGTATTCAGATATTCTGCTGCTGATCTGTTTGTATTCAAAAGAGAAGGATTGAGTCATATGCTTGTATCTTTTTATTTACTATCAAAAAGATTTCATGCAAAAATATTTTTTATTGGATGAGATGTATTAGTTCTTCACCTTATGTTACTCTCCCTTAAAGTTATTTGGTATTACTTTTAAACTTTTAAATATTTTATTGTTTATTATTTTATATATGTTATTATTCATTTTTGAAATGAATACATTTACAGTTGACTAGGGAGGCATTACAATATGTGCTAATGATATGCAGAGAGTGATTTGGGAATACTTTGAAAGCATATATTACAACTGGAAAATCAAGAAAAAAACCAGTATAATTTCAAGACACCTGTGAGATTTCAAAATTAATTCAGGAGGGGAGGTGCCATAGACTCCCAAATATAAGGATATTGTTCTTTGCTACTATTCAGAACTTGATATAAGAACCTATTGCTGATGGTATTGGCGTCAAAACAGACAGGTGGATCAATGGAATCTAATCAAAGACCCAGACATAAATCCACACACCTATGAACACTTGATTATCGACGAAGAAGCCAAAACTATACAATGGAGAAAAGAAAGCATCTTCAACAAACGGTGCTGGCATAACTGGATCCGCATGAACCCAACACTCAGTACAAAACCTTATCAAAGAAAAGGGGGCTAAGAGTAACAGCAGCTTCCACCCAGCTTCATTTTTGATACATTCAGGGGTTAGGAGCCTTCAGAGGCTGGGTTTAAACGCATGGAGAGATTTTTATGACAGAGCCACTCAAAGAAATATAAACTTGTACCTTGTGCAAAACAAACAGTGATTGAAGCTCAGACACACTGCCACCACAAGAGACTCTTTTTGTTTGTTTTGGTTTTTAACATTCTTTTCTAGTCACTTCTTGGGGCGAAGGATAGAACTCAAAAAGCCAGGGAAACTTATCATACTTGGAAATAGAACTAGGACCGTCTGGAGTGTGTGTGTGTGTGGGGGGGGGGAGCGGGTCCTTTAAAAAACACAGACTCGTGGTGGAGCCTCCTGCCTCAGCCTCCAGAGCCTGTGCCACCACAGGCCCTGCTTGCATTGCTTTTGTTTAGAGTTCGGGTTCCAGGGCCTGCTGTATGCTCAGGGCCACCTCTACTAACTACCAAGTCCAGCACCAGGATTTGGTTATTAATATCATTCATTCTAATAGCAGCACAAGTCACTCAGTAGCCTCCAGTCAGGGGACTCAGGCTCCACTTTACCCTGAAGCAACAGGACAAGGCTGGGGGAGGCGAGGCGTGGTGATAAAGCTGATGATGCATTTCCTTAGAGTTCCAGGCTTCCTTTCTTCTGTTTCCTGGGGGAGAGGTTTGCAATTAATATTTCGGTGATCTTTCAAAAGAAATTCTGTAACCACTCTTGAACATTCTGATTTTATTTCAAACTTCACTGCAGAAAAGGAGTTCCGTTTACTTTTTGTTGTTGCTGTTCCATGATTCTGGGGGGTTGTGGTTGTTGTTACATGTTTCTGGGATTTTTGTTCTTGCCTGCTGTTCCTGCCCTTCTGATTGTATATTACTTTTAAAATAAAAAAAAAAACTAAGAAATTCAAAAGATACAAGAAACTAGATGTAATGTCAACACTTGGAAAGCTGAGGCAGGAGGATTGTGAGTTCCAGTCTGGCCTATGCTCCTTAACAAGGCTCTGTGTGGGGAGAAAAAAAAAAAGCAGTTCAAAAACAGGAGTGTCCTGTCATATCAGTATAATCATGAAAATATGGCACTGGGTCTGTCATGGTGGCTCATGTTGTGATCCACAATTAGGGGATGAGCACAGTGAAGATCAATCCAGTGTCGTCTTTGACTCTGGATAGAGTTCTGAGAGCTGCCTAGCCTACAGGAGCCCAGTGGAAAGAGAGAGAAGAAGCACCTGGGGCAGGACAAGTGGCTCACACCTTTAACCCCACCACTCAGGAGGCTGAGCCCCGAGAATCACTGAAAGCTGAGGCCACTCTGGTCTACACAGGAGGCTCTAGGCTGTCAGGACTACTGAGCAAGATCCTGTCTCCAAATAAAGAAATACAAGAAACAAATAAACTTGGGACTAGGAGATTGGAATAGAGCACTTTTCTGGCCTGGGGAAAGCTCTCTGGGTTCTATTCCCAGAGTTGGAAAAACAGACAGACAACCCAACAGTCAGCACATGGCCAGGATCCAGGTCCTTGCTCCTCTAAGGTTCCACCCTCCTGAGAAGGTGGCACCTGGCAGGCAAGCCACAGCAGCAAAGGGCTGCTTTTCTCCTCTGGTCATTTTCTGAAGTTCCTGAAGCCACACTGAAATGTCTCCAGGGTTTTTTCAGCATTCTCCTCTGTAGGCACACAGACCTCTTCCTGACCCCTGTGACAAGCTCAGAGCCTTTCAGGTCAGAACTCATTTCAGCCAGGCTAAATGTCACCGTGGCAACCCAAGGATCCAGAGGGAAACTCCAAAGAAGTAAACATCAACACCCAATTAAAACCAGAAACTGAAAGAAAACTATGTCAGGCCTGAGATCTACTCTGTAGTATAAAACATGAAACAAACATCATCTCCAGTCCCCCTGCTATCACTACAGAGACCAAGATAGCCTGCATCTGTGGCAGTCCTCCTGCCTCTACCTCTTGAATACTGGGATTACAGGTATGGAACACACACACACACACACCCCTTTAAAAGAGAGTTTCTTGCATGTATAGATATGCACTACATTCATGCAGTACTCATGTAGGTCAGAAGAAGGCTTTGGATCCCCTGGACTTGGAGTTACAGGTTATAGTTCTGATCACTGTGTGGGTGCTGGGATTTGAACCTGGGTCCTCTGCAAGAGCAGCAAGCTCTCTTAAAAGCCATCCCTCTAGAAGAGAAAGTAGGAAGTACCCTTGAACGCATTGGCACAGGAGATGACTTCCTAAATATAACACCCGTAGCACAGACACTGAGAACAACAATTAATAATAATAAATAATAATAAACAAATAAATAATAAATTAATAAATGGGACCTCTTGAAAATGTATGAGAATTCAGTGGAGTTTCAACCCTAGTTCATCTGCACATCTTCAGGTTCCCATGTGTGCCTTTAATACCTATGGAGTACCCAGGGTTCCCGGGGGTTAGCTACATCTGGCGTGGGATATCAGGGAAAAAATCTACGTACACTATGTTCTTATGTGTATTAACTTTATTCCTCTAAGACAAAATTCTATCAATTCAGCTATAGCTCCGCCAGGCATTCAAGGCAGGAGGAATAACTCTAGACATATCTATATCCATCTACTTCATTTCTCTGGGAATGAAATCCTGTCTCCATAACTGCAGTTCCGTCCAGGTCCCTAGCTCATAGTCCTGCTAATGACTAATGTCAATTCTTTCAGCCTCATCTTCGTCCTCTGTACCCTCTTTCTCCATTTCTGCTACTCTCTACTCCTGGCACTCAGAGAACTCTACCTGAGATCTGCTTACCCTCTATGGAACCTCTGTCTTCCTCTCTTCTCTCAAGCCATGCGGTTCTGTCCCTGTCTACAGAATATGCCTGCCTTTTCTTTCCCTGGGCACCTCATTGCCTACCTCCTCAGGAATGTTGTTTTATCTCCCACCTTGATATGTAAAAAGCTCTTTTGTTCTCATTCAAAGTGCTCTGGAGAACCAGTAGGCCTCCTCAAGGCCAGGGGATGGCCTGAGCTTCATTAGCACAGGAAACAAAGCTATGCTTCTCTGCCAGCTTGTCAGCAGGGCAGTTAGTAACTTAGGTTCAGCAGGTCTGGGGAATTGAACTGTTTACCAATAGGTCTGGGCACACAAGGATTTCACAGCAGAAGACAGCTGAAATATTAAAGGCTGGGTAACACCAAATATTCATAATAAATGGCTTTGCCTTTTGACAGACCCTTGGCTGGTCAAAGTTCAGCTTTAATACACAGCTGAATCTCTATGATATATTCTTGTGGCCCGCAAGACTTTTCATAAGGAAATTAGACACAGTCGAAGAAGCTTCCTAACTCTGTCTACTCTATTTTACCTCATGAGGCAATAACACATCTTCATCTTGGTGGCAGATGCATGCTGCTTTGGAAGCAGGCCATTAGGGTCATGTCCAGTCTTGTGTGCTTTCCAGGTGTAATGCTGGCCAAGGGTCGGCTCCTTTCCTAGAGCTACTCAAGACCTTTCCTACAGGGTATTTAAGGTCCGGCCCATAGACTTGTCTGGTGGTTTCCCCTCTTCCCGAGACCACCCGAGAATGCTTTGCTCATTTTAAAACCTGGACTTTAATTCGGTTTGATTAGGCTTAGTGCATGGGTGGAGTTACTCACTACCTGGGCATATTTTACTTATCAGTACCTCTTTCTCAGGCTCTTTCCACCCTCTTTGTGAAGCTCTCTTTGGCAGATATCCCATAGCTCTGATACCTCCAATATCTTTCACTTCACACGATGGCCTCTTAGGACTTCCTGACATTTCAGGGCCATCATGTGGGGACTCCCCTGCCACATGCTGTCTGGCCTCTGTTCTCTGAAACCACAGAGCAAGAATCTATGACCCCATTACTCCTACATCCTTCATGCTGATGCCAGAGCCAAGGAGGTGGCACTGCCAAGTTCTGCAGCCAGCTTGGGTTGGACCCTCATCTCCCTGAACCACACTGGCAGCAGCTTTCGTTTGTAGTTGCTTTCTAGGAGCAGAAAATGCTTTAGGCCTTTTCCTTTTACAAATCAGAAGTGCTGTGTGGGGCCTTGGCCTGGGAGAACTCTTTCGTTTGTTCCGGTCAGATCATTGAAGTCACTAATCTTAACAATCACAACCTCTGTTCCAGCACATACCTGGGATGGAATGCTAAGTTTGCAATATTTTTTTTCTTTTTAAATTTAGCCATAAGTAGGTTCTCAGGTCACGGGCAGAAGGCAGTCAGATTCTTTGCCAAAGTATCCCATGAATGGCCTCTAGTCTGTTTGCTGACATCATTCCCCTCTGAAACCCCTTGAGCTGTGCCTCTCTAGTCCACATGGCTCTCAGCACTACTGCCTTTAGGATCCTATTAGAATGACCCTTTATTCTCTACTTACAGTGTCCAACCACTTTTCTAGTCCAAAGTCCTAAAGTCTTCACATTCCTCTAAAACACAAACAAAAACAACATGGCCAGTCTTTCCAACAGCAATACTTCATCCCTGATATTAACTTCTGTATTAGTTACTTTCCTATTCCCATGATGTTAAAACCTTGTGACCAAGGCAGTTTATGAAAGGAGGATTTTACTTTTATGTTTCCACACAGATAAGAATGCATGCAACAAGAAGACATGGCAGCCAATACAGGAAGCAGAGAGCTCACAATCACAAGAGAGCAAGGAAGTGGTGTGAGGCACAGGGCTTGGGGATTAAACCAGTAGCTTCCAAAAAAGGTAATCTGACACCTGTGGAACATTTTGCAATGTCTGGAGACAGCTTCTGCAGTCAGAAGAGGGAAGGTGAGGTTGGCACCTAGCAGACAGGAAACAGTCCCGGACTGGAAAGAAACCAAGTGTCTGTCACAGTTGGAAGAACAGACAATCTGTGGCATAGGGCTGTGCCCAGTGCTGCTGCTGGTCTACAATCCCAGCTCTTCAGGAAGCAGAGGTAAGGGAATCAATAGCTCAAGTCGCTCTCTCTGCTTTCAGCTTGTGCTGTGAGGTGTGAACCCTCAGCTCCAGCTCTAGCCTCTGTGCCTGTCATCTGTCACTCAGCTCCATCATCATGGGTGTTTATTTCTCTAGAACCATAAACTTAAATCAACCCTTCATTCTATGTCTTTCCCTGGTCATGCTGTTTTATCACAGCCACAGAAAAGTGACCAAGACAACAACAGTGTGAATTCAAGGATAGCCTGGGAACTTAGTGAGACCTTGTCTTAAATACAAGATAAAAAGAGGGCAGAGCATACAGCTCAAGAGTACAATGCTTGTAGAACTTGCTCAAAGCCCTGGGTTCTACCTCTAGTACCATTTTTTAAAAATGTGGGCCGAGGAGATGGTTTAGTGGGTAAAGTACTTGGCACACAAGCATGAGGACCTGAGTTCAGATCCTCAGAACCTGTGTAAAGCTGGATGTGGTAGCACTCTGTTGTCAGGATGGGAAACAGAGGCAGGGGAATCCCATGAAGCTAGCCTGGCATCTGCAGCTGTAAACAACAGGAGACTCTTGACAAGACTGGGGAGAGGAAACCTCAACTGAAGAGTTGCCTCCATCTGATTGGCCTGTGGGCATGTCTGTAGGGCATTTGCTTGATTGCTAATTGATGGAGGAGGGCCTTGCCACCACTGTGGGTGGTACTAACCTTAGGCAGGTGGCATGGGCTGTATAAGAAAGGAAACTGAATATGAGCCCAGCCTACTCTCCAAAACATACATCCAGAGGTGTGTGTCTCCTAGGTGATTTTAAATCCAGTCGAATTTGGCATGAAGATTAACTATCTATTCTAGTTCCTTTTCTGACCAAGAGCAACATGGGAAATAAAAGTTTTATTTTATCTTGCACTTCCAGGTCAGTCTATCATTGAGGGAAGTCAGGGTAAAACTTGTGCGGAACCTGGAAGCAGAGACCATGGAGAAGTAATGCTTGCTCTCAAGCTCACATTCTAGATTTCATGTTAGGTAATGAAAAAAAAAAAAAAAGCAAAACAAAACACTGTAATATCAAACCTAGTACCTGTGCACCTTGTTTTACTTTCTGTAGTAGCATCACTTGCTTCTTGGCAAACGTGATGAGATCTTCTCCGGGCAACGTTTCCAGCTGAAGTAGTTGTCATATGATCGACTTTTGTAACCCATGCATCCAGTGTGTCCCCCAAAAGAAACACAACGTCTGCCTAAAACAAAAACACGCTCAACATTCAAGGCAACCATACTTCTAAAATTAACAAGTATAACTTCAACAACTTTAAGTAATCAGAAGAATCAAAAAGCAAACAAAAACCCCAGCATAAAACTCTTACAGATACCATGAAGTTCTCTAAGTGTACGAGTGGGTGTTGGACCTAGAGATTTGTAGAGCTGTAAAATTCATTCTGTTGGAAGCTGAAAAGTCATCCATGTGCACATGATAACAAACATAACTACATTCGCACATGAATGGAGGGCCATTTAGGCTTTATCTAAAATCTTAGGCTTTACTAACTCTGAAGACTACTTAATCCTTGTGCCTTCCGTTTCCTCATCTGTAGAATAAGACAATAAAGGAACTTAGCTCACGAAGCTTAAGTGACAGAATCGGGAGCTTAGGCAAATGCCTGGAACCCAGTAAGCAAATGAAACATTTTGGTAATAAACAACTACCTTTCAGAATCATTGAGCATTAAACATTTCACAGGGCTGTAAGAAGGACCTTATTCAACCCTCCTTTGACTATGGAGCTGAGTCAACACGATATAACTCCTTGACTCTTCCCTTTATCTAGTCCTCTTCATCGCGTCACTGTGTAAACTTTCATAAAACAGACTAGTTAAATGTCTGAAATACAGCAGGATCTCTCGGGATAGCGCTAACAAGGAGCAGGAAAGAAACAAACTGCTTGCACATCAGGAAATTAAAAAAACAAAACAAAACAGGAAATCAATGGGTGATTATAAATTGAAATGGAAATCCCTGAGGAAAGGAAGGGTGCTTCTTTTAAAGAAGAAATCCTTCTCCCCATGCCCGAATTTTCCAATTCATTACCCTTCCGTGCTACAGGGAACCTGGCAGTGGAATGCTCTCCTCACCTTGGATTTTCTGGTCCCGGAGGGTGCATCCCGCAGCCACCCCATCTTGAAGAGGGCCCTGCAAAACCAAATCGTCACAAGAGTTCAGCCAAAAGAGCTTGTGACAAGGAAGAGCCCCTTCAGGATCAAGAACCAGGGACCTTCGCCCTGGCACGTGCCAGCACCGGGCTCTACCCTGAGCGCAGCGGCTGGCACTGAGCCGCGGAAGCGGGGACAGCCTGCTGGCCGTTCCCTCCCCCTCCTTGAGTGATGCAGACCAAAGGGGCAGAGCGACACCACCGTTAGCTCCCTGCCCCACCACCGTTACCTCCATCGTCAAAATGACCCCGGGTCACCGCTGCTATGTAGGAGTCCGGGGTGCTCCGCCTCTGAGGCTGCCAGAGCAGATTAAGGGTGGTGCTAAGGGAAAGCCTCCCGAGAATGCCTCCCCAGGTTTCCAAGGTTACATGGAAGAGGCACTTCCTCTTCCTCCTCAGCCTCCAGGAGGAAGTTAGTTTCCTGTGTGCGGGTCTCTGGCCTTTGCCTGCAGCTCCAGGAGCCTCAGAGCGCTGCCCTGTGTGGAGTGAGGCGTTTGAACACAGGTGTTCGTTGATCAGTTTGTTTCCTAATTTTTTAAGATGTTGTTTGTAAGTTTAAGTATCCCACCTAGCGGGCATATGTGGAACAAATAGTTCCTAGGTGATGTAATTCTATCAGATGTACAAAATTTGTTGCGTCGTGAATAGTAATTGGGAATGTATATCTGGATCCATTAGTTTATCAGAGTTGCAAAATGCTGGCATGTTGACTCTGTCCTTCTAAAAATTAATTAATTGGCTGAGATAATTCTTGTGCTTCTTAAGATTGTTAATTTGAAAGGCTCTGGAATCATGTAGGAGACCAGCCTTTAGGTTTGTCCGTGAGATTTCTCTAGATTAAATTAATTGAGGTGGGGAAACCCACGGTAAATGTGGGTGGCATTATTCCATGGATTGGAGGACATGTCTGCATGAAAAGGAGAGAGCAAATTGCACACCAGGATTCATCTGAAAGGATTCATCAAGGTCACAGTGTGGGAAGTCATGAGTGACTGGTGTCTATAGGCTCCCTTCAGTGTGGTCCCTAAGGAGAGAGGGCAGGATACAGGGATCTAAGAGTTCTGCCAGAGAGTACAGCAGCCTTCCCTTTCCTAGTGGTTGCTCACAAGGGGATGAAAGGAAGAAAAGAGAAAACTATCAGAGGACTCTCTGGAGAGGAAGGCAAAGAAGAGATGGAAGATATTCCAATATAGATGTTTGTTGTTGCCTCATAGAGTGGCAATAGGTAACCCCTAGACTGTCCTAAGCCATAAAAAAAAAAAGGCCTGATATTTTTGTATAGTTAATCCTGGCCCAAACATAAACTGGAAGATGGAATAAGGAGTATGAATCATAGTGCTGTTTGTTTGTAGGTGAAAAGGCATTTATTTATTCCTCCAGTTTTTCAGGCTGTCTTCTCCCAGGTGTAGACACTCACTAATTGCAGGTACAGGCCTTCAAGCAGTTTGGCCCTCACCCCAAGTATAGCCAGAGAGTATCTCAAGTTACCCAGGGGTAAAGGCAGATATTTTTGTTGGCTTGATCCTCTTTGATCGTGGCTTCTGGAAGCTGTGTGGCATGATCTTACAAAATATGAAGATATCGGAGGTTTACAATTCAGAGTCAAGTTTTGTCCCTGATAATCCTCTGGTGGGGCAAAAATCCTTACCTCCTTTTTCTCCTCAGTCTCAATACACAGCACAGCAAGCAACTGGATCCCTTCTCTCTCGCTTCTCTGCTTCTTCAGTTTTACAGTGGAATGAATGCCTTGTGTGAGGAAACTGTCATGTGCTCTGTCAACTCACTGAAGCTGGCTCCAGAGGTGAGATTTTCCCACAGACCCAAGCACGTATGTCTCACACTGTCCTCCAAACTCCCTGTTTTCTATCCCTCTTCTCTCCACTTTGTAGCAGGAGAGAGGAGAACAGCAAAGCAGCACTGGGATGAAAAGCACTCTGCCCTTGGAAACAGCTGAAAAGGCACTGTTTCCAAAAGAGGATACTGTTGTTTAACCCAGGATATAAAATGGCTGTGGTACCCAGAGCTAGAACTGACCTGCATTTCTGTTCCCTTTGGATTAGATTTCCTGGTACCAGAAAGCACCATGCGAGATTCCAGAGATGGGAGACAACCCACAGTCCTTCCCAGTTCTGACACCTGTGAACTGCATCAACCAGCATGGCATGACAACCCGGGTGCAGTTGTGACATGTGTACCTTGGACTAAATTGGACTCATTGGACTTAAGACCTGCTCAACAAGAGGGCAACCATGCTTGATATAGGAAACAAACTTAACTATTCAGTGCTAGTGAGGTCATTGTGATTGGTGGAGAATTTATAGCCACTAATTTGCTAAACCAGCATCATCCCTAACAACAATCTGTAAACATTTGTCCTTATGCCCACAGATAAGTGTGGTCCTCACTGCTCATCAAGGCAACTTCTCTTTGCAACATACGGAGACCACTACAGAAAAACACAATCAATCAATATGCAGAGTTGTAGAGCTCAGTCCCAATGGATACATGTATACAACACTTCCACATCTAAGGCTCAGGGGGAATTTAGTAAGAGGGGATGGGAAGATTGTAAGAGGCCGAGCATCAGGAAGTTTGTTGTGAGGTTGTGTCTCCTAGTGTGGTCAGAAGCTATGCCCATAAAGTCTCACTAACATGACTGCTCAAGAATGAACAATGAGGACACCAATGGCCAGACCAACATGGGCAGAGAAGAGCCCATGAGGCCTCAACCCCACATAAAAAACTACAGGCAACTGAGGGAAGCTGGGAATGGAGAGAGCACACCAGTCGCTTGTCCAGTATCAAATAGTCAGCCCTGAAAACATCCATACAAGTAACAGGGACTGAAGAAGTTATATTTAGAAGTATACATGTGTATATGTATGTACATATTTGCATGCAATAATAGTTAACGAAAAAAGAAGCCATGAATCGGTGGAGAGCAGGGATTGATATATTGGAAGGGTTCTGAGGGAGAAAAGGAAAGGAGAAATGTTATATTGTTTACCTTCCCTGGCCAGGGAGGCTAAATCTCTTCACAATAAAAGGTCTGTGAAAAGATCTATAAGGGATTACCAGTGGACTCCAGACTTAAGAGTGATGTGAACAAAGCACTTCCCACTTTTATTCTTAAAGGAAGAGAAACGTGAGGTGACTTTTACAGTTAACCTAAGCAAATAGAAGGGCACTGAGGGAATTCAGCTGGTGGTATGTCTTATCATCTTTGGTTATATGAACAGAGCCAAAAGTATCCCACCCAGGCCTTTTCCTTTTCCGTAGAGGTAATGTGTACATGCCATGCCGTTCCCTCCATGTCCTTGCTTTCAAGTGCATTCACTTATGGTTTATACATTTTTTTCCCTAGAAGCTACCTGGGGAAAAGAACATTCTGCACTCCATCCATATTTTACTGTTAAGTTTACAGCTTTTTTTTTTTAACATAGGCTCCTGATATTATAATCTCAGAAAGAATTACAAATGGCTAGTAAACTCTTTTTTTTTTTTTTTTTTGAGATACAACTCTCTACGTATTTCTTGACTGTCCTAGCACTCACCATGTGCAGACCAGGCTTGGCCTGCAACTCACAGATAGCCATTTTCCCCTGACTTCCATGTGCAGGGATTAAAGTTGTGCATCCCAATCAGCTAATAAACAGTTTGAAAAATATTCAATGTCCTTGGCTATGAAGGAAACACAGATTAAAACTACTTCAGGATTCCATCTCACTCCAGGCAGAATGGCTATGATCAGGAATACAAGTGACAAGCAATAGTGATGTGGATTTACGGAAAAGAACACTCTTATGCACTGTGGGTGGAGGCATAAACTAGTACAGACACTATGAAATCAGGCTGGACTCACAAACGTCCCCCACAGGCTCCCATAGTTGAACACTTGGTCCCCATTTGGTGACAGACACTGTTTAGGGAAACTGTAAAAGGTAGAACCTTGTTGGAGGATGTACGTAACAAAGGATGAACTTTGAGCATGAATGGCCTTGCTTCACTTCCAGCTCATCCTCTCTGCTTTATTTTTGCTTTTGAAGATAAAACTGTAAGTCAATATAAATTCTTTCATAAGCTGTTATTAGTCAGAGTAGCTTCCCAGAGCTAGTGAGGTCATGGACCTTAGAAAAGAATCTACCAGCACAACTTTTCTAGATTAGCATAATTCCTTACTACACTTGAAATCTTATCCTTATATCCACAGATAAGTGAAGCTACTATCCCTCATCTCAGACTCTTCTCTTTACAAAAAATGTGGAGACCATCACAGGAAACCACAACTGGACACAATGCGGAAATAAACCAGTGGGTCATGGGGAGACCAGTACCAACGGATACATCTACATCACAGCTGTGTCTCTGAACAGGTACCAATATGGAAGCGAGGTTGTGAAAGCTAAAATACCAGGAAGTTTGCTCTGCAACAGTTTCTCCTAAAAATGACTATATAAACAAGACCGGGACAATGGCAGTATCAATGGACATGTTGATGTAGAACACCCCTAGACAAAGGACTCCAGGCACCTAATGACTGCTGAGAGGAGAATTAGTTTCTCCCAGGGTTGAACCCCTTATTCAATGTCTAATGCAGAGTGGTCAGCCCTGAAACTGTATACACACAAATAGCAAAAATATATTCTACAAGTTGTGTCTTAGAGTTTTTATTGCTGTGAAGAAACACCATGACCATGATGACTCTTATAAAGGAAAACATTTAACTGGGTGGCTTACAGTTTCAGAGTTTATCATCATGAGGAGATTGGTGGCATGTAGGCAGACATAGTGTTGGAGAGGTAGCTGATAGTTCAGCATCTTGTGTAGGCAACAGGAAGTGGTCTGTCTCACTTGCATGGATTGAGCATATATGAGACCTCAAAGTCCAACTCCACAGTGACACACTTCCTCCAACAAGGTCCTACTTATTCCAACAAAACTACACCTCCTAATAGTGCCACTCCCTAGGAGCTTATGGGGGCCAGTTACATTCAAACTACGGAGTTCCACTCCCTGCCTCCCAAAAGCTTGTAAAAATATCATAATACAAAATGCATTTAGACCAACTTCAAAAGTTCCCATAGTCTATCACAGCATCAACAATGTTTCCAAGTCCAAGATTCACCCTTCTGACGTTCATGCAATCTCCTAACAGTAATCCCCTATAAAATCAACATCAAAGAATAGATTACATAATTAAAACATATAATGCCATAGGATATACATTAGCATTCCAAAATGTAGGGAAGGTGGTAGAGTGAGGAAACACCGGACAAAAGCAAGACCAAAACCAGATGGGCAAACTTCCAAACTCTCTATCTCCGTGTCCGATGTCAAAATGCTCTTCAGATCTCTTAACTGCTTTTAGCTTTGTTGACGGCAACATACTTCTTTTTCTTGGGCTGGTTTCACTGCCTGTTTGCAGCTTTCCTCAGCAGGTATCCCATTGTTAGGTGTGACATCTTTTGTTCCACATTGCTATGCACAGTGCAGCAGTGTGGGTGCACTGAACAGGGGTGTGGACATATGCATTGTGACAATGTGACTTAGATTCATTTTGTATAGACCCTGGAGTGGCTCTGCTGGACAGTATGACAGCTTTAGTGTTTTGTTGTTGTTAACCTCCTGTGATGGTTGATCTTCCTCTCCCACTGGCTACATTTGGAATCACCTGGGAGCCACACCTCTGGGTGTGTCTGTGAGGCTGTCTCCAGAGAGGGTAAACTGAGCAGGGGAGACCCACCCTGAATCTGCTCAGCACCATCTCATGAGCTAGGTTTTCAGACTGCTTCAAAAGTGAAGTGAAGTGGATGCTGAGCACCAGGATTCATCTGCTTTCTGACCAAAGAGACAATGTGATCAGCCACTTCAGACACCTGCACCACTCCTTCCCCACCAGGATGGACTAAACCATTAAACAGAAGCCCAAATATACCATCCTCACTCAAGTTCCTTTCTCAGATATTTGGTCAAAGAATTGAGGAAAGTCACCAACAGCCCTCCATATTGATTCCCATGGCAGCTGCACCAGTTCCCATTCTGATCAGCAGAGGAAGAACTCACTTCCACCTCCTCCCTGAAGATTTTGTTTCCTTAATATGACAGTTCTGACTATGATGAGATAGTATCACCATACAATTTTTATTTATATTTCCAGTGGATTGTGGTATTTGCCCTTTTTTTCCAAATGTTTATGGAGTTTTTGTAAATTATAGTTGTATTTCTTCAATTCACTTGTCCATTTATTAATTGGAAGATTTTTTTGATATTCAAGTTTTGAAGTTCATTACAGAGCCTAGATATTAATCTGCGGACTGATCTTCTCCCATTTGCCAGGCTGTCTCTTTATGCTGGGGATTACTTCCTTGCTATTGGAGCATGATTTTTAATTTTTGGAGGCCTATTTGTTGAGTTCTTGGAATATATTGTGTACTGGATTTCTTCTCAGAATGTTCTTGCATATGCCCATATATTGAGCTGTTTTCTGTAGCTTTTTCTCTAGTGGTTTCAGGTCTCCCCTTAGGGTCTTTGTCTAATTTGAACTGCACTTTTGGTTGGAGGAGAGATGAGAATCTAATTTCATCCTCTATGTGTGAATATCCAGAACCACTTACTCAAAAAATATCATTTTCCCCAATGTATGTTTTTGGCATCTTTGTCAAAAGTATGTTGGGGCCTGGAAGGATGGCTCAATGGTTAGGAGAACTTTCTGCACTGACATAGGATACAGGTTTGCTTCCCAGTATCCAATCTGTCAACTCACAACCACCAGTAAGTAGCTCTAGCTCCAGGGGATCCAAAGTCCTCTTCTGTCCTCCAAGGGCACTCCCATTCACTGCCATACACCTGGACACAGACATATAAATAAAAAACAAAAATCTTGTTACAGATCAAGGTGGCTGCAAGCTGTGTGGCTTCAATTCTGTGTCCTCTGTCTATTCCATTGGTCTACTTTTCTGTTTTCTGATAGTACCATGCTGTTCCTGCCACTTAGAACCAAGTCTTGAGATCAAATATTCTGATAACCCGCAGTGTTTTTTCCTGCTTTGGATTATTTTTTTCCCTAGGGTCTTTTTAGCCATCATATGCATTGTAGATTTTTTTCTCTTGCTTTGTGAAGAATATTATTGAATTTTCATAGGTATTACCAAGATCACTAGATAGATTTTGACAAAACAGTTTCTTTTATTCATGTCAATCCAAAAGCATGCGAAATTTTCTGTTTTCTAAAACCTTAATTTTTTCTTATATTTTTGGTTGTAGAGATCATGTACCTTCAATGGTAGGGATTATTTAAAAAAAAAAACAAACTTTTAAAAGCGGATGGGGTCCCCACCTCCTGATTTCGACAGTATCCAGAGTTTGATTACCGCGACCCTCACAGCTGGAGCACGAAATCTGGGGAAGGACACCAAGGTTAAACAGCACTCTAGACACCCAGTTTCAGTTCATCAGGGAAGCAGCTCTCTTTATTCATACCAACATGGGCTTATATACACCTCTAACAGCAGGGGTCAAGGAATGGAGGCAAGCCAGACACTGTTTTCCAAACAGGAAAAACTACAGGGGAACTGATCCCCAGCACCCTCCGGAACCCAACCGTACATTTTTCACACAAACGACTTAACTGGGACAGGACAAAAAAGGGCATTTAAAATTAAGGCAGCAAACTTACTGCTGCCGACATTTGATTTTCAAATAGAATCAGGAAGGATTCAAATTTCAGGTAATTGAAGTAAGTTGTGAAAATTTAGGAGAAAGGAATCTAGACATGGTAGCTTTTAAGGCCAAAACTCAGGAGGTAGAGACAGGCAGATCTCTGAGTTGAGGCCATGCTGGACAGCAGAGAAGTCCTGTCTCAAAAGCAAACAATCAAAAAGTTAGGAGAGAGGCTGAGGGATGGCTCAGCAGTTCAGAGCACTGCCTGCCCTCCTGGAGGACCTGGGTTCCACTCCCAGCACCTACATGATGACTCATAACTACCTATAAGTGAAAGGCACGATTCAACATGAACGCATACAGCTTGCTACTGTCTGTTACCCTAACACTAACCTCAACCTAAATATCCCTAAGGCCACCTAAGCATGGCCTTTTCTATACTGACATGTACCTAGGCACTTGTAAGTGGGTCCTCTGTGTGCCCTTGTGTGGGTATGAGGACATGGGCACAGGGCCTTTTTGTTCCTTCACCTCTGGTGACAGAGGTATGGGGTTTCTCAGGTATAGGGAATCTGTGATCATATACAAAAGATGACACACTAGGAAATCAACACCAGAATGATCTACAGGGAGGAGGTTTTGAACAGTGGGAAGACCCTAAGAGAAAATGACTTTTTTCCTGGAATGCATGTGGTATAGAGGTAATGGTTGGGAAACCTCTTCTGCCTTCTTGAAGTTGAGGGTCTGGCTGGAGCCAGGCTTCCCAGGTCAGGGTGTGGCATGGGCATATGGACACCACTGTGGTGGTATTTTACTTGTACTGAAATGTGATTTTAATTGTATGTTAATAAATAAAGTTGTCTGGGGGTCAGAGCTATTAGAGCCATAACAAGTGCATGGCGGCGGTGGCGCACACCTTTAAGGACCTGGATGGCGGTACATTCAGGCAGTGACGAGGCAGTCACATGTTTGGGTTTACAACCAATGAGAAGGCAGAACAGCTAGACTGTATAAAGACACACACAGGAAGTAGGTCCCCTTTTTCGGAGAGCTCTCTTGGCTGAAGAGGATCCCTGAATGAGGAAGGGTGAGGCTCTTAGCTCTGACCTCTTGGCTTTCTTCTCTGAATCCGCTCTGTGTTTCTTATTTAATAAGACCGTTGGTTACATCTACACACCACTGTGTCCCATTGTACACATGGAAAGGCAGGAGAGAAGATGGCAGCCCTGGTCAGCCCTAGAGAAAGCCTATGTGGAGGAAGTGCTGGCTGGAGGGCCCCAGGAAGTGACCTCACTTCCTTAGTATTATTACAGATGGAACTCAGGCTCCTGGTTACCAGGTAACCAGCCATCAACAGCAGCCTCAACTGACTCACTTGTCTGGAGGCACTAGAACAGTAAAGATGTTCTCTTGCTTCAGGCGTTGTGGTTGCTCAGGCCACCGAAAACCAAAGCTTCCTGGCCGGTTCCGACGTGTGCTGCGAAGGATTTGTGGACACCTCTGTCCATTTTCCCGTAGGGAAAATGAGGTAACACAGGTCAGCCTGCAGCCAGGAGACTTTTTGGTCCCCCTGATCCACTGCAGTTCCTGAATGGGTCTGTGTTCCTGTGAGAACACTGAGAAACATCTTTTATGCTCGCTTTTCACTTCAGTGTGTGGTAATGGGTTGTTATTGTCTCTGAGATTTCACATTTAAACCCTCCTTCCTTCCTTGGTCTTTCCTCAGGATATCAGGAATCAGGAAGATGACCCCATATTTCATCCACGGAGCCCAACCTATATGAAAGACCTTATCAATCATATACCAAAAGCCGTTAAGGATGGGAATTACCTATTTATATTTATAGTATTGGCTGTCTACCCTAAGTTTGTGACCACCTGGGAGATGCTGGACTTAATTATGGACACGTGAGTGGCTACACACAAGTCAGGCTCTCAAGCCCCCTGTTTGATTTTAGAATGTCTCTACCCTTCTCTGGGACTGTATGCTCTCACAGAACAAGTATTATTGTACCCTGGCATCATTGGTCCTGGGCCTGGACCTTCAAGATGACATGGCCAGAGATAGGGGTAGGGGAGACAACACTAGATTGTCATTCACTTTTCCCAAGAAGTGTCAAACACTATCCTTTCTTATCCTTTGAGCAGAGCCTTTTTCCCATTTGTATAAAAGGTTCTAGACACTATCTAGGTTTGATGGGACTAACAGAAGCAGATAAGGGTCCCTGGGACCACCCAAGAAATCCTGTAACAACAACAACAAAAAAAAAACCAAGAAGGAGAAGCTTAGGTTACCCATTGTGTGACGATCCTTGAGAGCTGTGACCAGAGGCTCATTCCCAGACCCTAACCATGGAAGTCAGAACATTGCAAGGAGCCCTGAGGACTCTCATCCCCTTCCTGGCTTCTATTTCTCTACCTGATTCAAGTAGCTCCTTCTAGATCCCTTGGTGGGTTGGGGACACATGGCCTTAGTGGTGACACCCTCATGAAATGCCACAGGTATGGACCTTTGCAGCCAGACTGTATGGAGGATCAGGAAAAAAAGAGGTGAGTTGGCTTGGGTGACGAGGGAGGTAAGAGCCCCTCTACACAGTGGGATGTCTGGGGTGGCTAGGGTTGAGGACTGAGCTGTTACCAGTCACCCTGCTCTTGGGATTCCCACTAGAGGGATGGTAGTGGGAATCATGTGCAGAGACTTCACGTGCAGGTGGAGAAAAACAGAAATCTCCATTGGTCTCCTTGGTCCTGAGGAGCACAGGGATTGGCGGAAGCTAAAGGGCCCTAGGGGAAACCATCCCCACTACAGCCCAGCCCAGTCTGCCCAGTCCCTCCTCCAAGGACAGAAAGTGTCTCGAGCCCTGTCCATACAGCTCTACACTCCTGACCACCATGCCCAGCAGCACGTGGACTGGGCAGCCTTTTCCTCATCTAAGGGACACTGCTGTGCTGGTGAAGTGAGGCCAGGCTTCTGACTCTACTTCCCTCCAACCTGGTCCTCCCTGCAGTGCCTTATTATCCTTCCTGTCCATATGGAGAATAAAACACCCCCGGGACTTCAGTCGGTCTCCAAACCTTGCCGTGGCCAAGAGGCTCGTGAAATATCTGTGGCCCGATGAGCCTGCAAAAGACTTCACTCTCCAAGGGGAGGCGCTGGAGGAGCAGGACTGTAAAATGGGTGAGGAGGCCTGGGGTAGGTGCCTAGGAAGGCTGAGGTAATTTCGAGGATGGGTTATACCAGGGAATTGTCCAGATATCCCGCCTGGAACCAGAGCTGGACACCTGTCGGGCGAGATGTCCTGTTGTGGGGAGAGGGGACTGGGGATTTTCTGACATGAACAGACCTTGTGTAACCAGCAAGGCCATCTCTGGGAAGCTCACCCCATCATGGAAACTTCTAGGGCACTTCCACTAATGGTCCATCTCTTTCTGCCTTAGATGATGGACTCCTCAGGGAAATAATTCCAGAGGCACCCGTGCAGGATGCATTAGAGATGGTGGAGACTCCACATCTGGGACCAACTTCTGTGGCAGGGCCCCAGGAATTTCTGAAAACCCAAGATGACACAGACCTGGCCCTTGGGGAACCAACCGTGCCAGAAGCTGGACCAGTGCCACTTCAAACTCCAGATCAGCCTCTGCCCACTGATGCACAGCCACCTCTAGAAGTGGCTGCAGGTGTTCCACATACTGAGCGGCTCTTTCTAGTTTCTGTTGTGCAGCTGGGTGCACCAGAGCCCTTTTTCCCTCTGCCTGATGTTGACATAGATTGAGATTGTTTATCACCTGCCGAGATCCACCCAGGACCAGCTGTCCTTCCCGTCTTTAGAGAAAGTATCTCCTTTCGTTTTGTTTAAAACTTTTTATTCTTGTTTTCAAAGTTAATATTAATATTGCCTTTAGTTATATTTAATTATTTTCCTTGTTTTTTCAATATTAATATTTATTAATAAGCATTAAGTATGCCTAATTCTTTTCATTGTTTTCATGTTAATATCACCTTTAATTTTGTTTATTTCTTTTTTATTAATGGTTTCATTGTTAATATTTCCTTTAATTTTCTTTAGTACTTTTTTCATTGTTTTCAATGTTAATATTGCCTTAATTATGCTTAATTCTTTTTATTGTTGTGTTCATTGTTAATATTGCCTTTCATTTTGTTTAATTCTTTTTATTATTCTCTTCATTGTCACTATCTCTTTAAATTTTGTCTAATTCTTTTTTTATTGTTGTTTTCATTTTTAGTATCTCCCTGAATTTTGTTTAACATTTTTTAGGGTGTGATCATTTATTTGTTACCCTTAAAGACTTATTTCTGACTGGACTCAGACTCACAAGTAGAAGCTCTGAGAGGACAGCCTACGTCTCTTGGCGACCTGGTCCTGGCGCTTTACTTGGGCGTCCTTCATTCTCTTGCCAAAAGTTCATCACATTCTGCAGCCTTCTCCTTGTTTTCCTTTGTCTGTTGTTTCTTTAGAGCAGCAATATGACAGCCTTTGTGTTGCAGGACATGAGGAGTGACAGGATGTTGAATCTTGAGTGCTTTGGTCCTGGGCTTTTTCTTTGTTTAATGGCTTTCTGACCATGTATTTTTGGCGGACATCATCTTCCTTAAAGAGATTAAAAAGCTTTCAGATTCTGCTAGCTCTTTAAGGTCCCAAATGACGAGGCACAGTAGTATCTGTCCATCCAGGAATACCCTCCTCTCCTTTTTTTTTTTTCTTCCAATAACCAAATTAGGAACACTGAAATTGGCTTCCATGATGAATCCTCAAACAGACTTGTGCTTCCTCTCTCTGTTCTCCTTGGTCTATAACAAGAACGGCCCTTACTCAACAGCAGGTGCACTCTGCCATGGGTCAAAATGCCTTGCTTCATGGGAAAACTTTTTCATTCCTGCCAATGATTCGGACCTCATACCCCTTCCACTCTTCACCCAGAGCATCAGCAGCTACTTCTGTGGCCATGGACTTCTCACAGAACATACGAAGCTTGTGTTCATCATCCACTTCAATGAGTTTCTGACAGCTGGTGGCAGGGAAGGAGATATTCAGCTTCATCTTGACACAGCCAACCGCCTAGGAGGTGCCACATAAAAGAGCTGTTTAACTCCTTTTTACGGTGTTCTCAATGTGGGTTGTTATCTAGACTTTAATATTAATAAAAATTTGTTTACTCATTTTATGGTTCAGGGGCATCGTGTCTATTCCCCATGTGCTACAATCTACTCATGTCTACCTGTGTATGGCAACTCTGAGGCAAACATGTGGATCATGGAAGGAGAACCCTTGAAGGCCATCTTAGAAGCAGGGAAAAGCAAGCAGCTCATGTGGCAGAAAAAGGGCAAATACCAACAATGGTGAGGAATATATGATTGTGAACTGGCAGTCTTCTGCTCAGATCTCCCTAATACTTAGGGACATAGATTCTGAGTTCAGATAGAGCAGGGCTCAAGCTCAGAGGTCTTCACTTTCTCCATGGGCTTCTGCTCTGTCAAAATGGTCTGCAGGGCCATGCAGAGAAAAATGATGTCAACTTAACTATAATGGTGCTCCCCGTTCTCACCAACCCTGAGCCCAGAGCTGTGTATACACACTCAGTGTATGTTGTGACACTTGTCACACCCCAATGAATATGTTTAAACAGATGGTTATCATAAAGAAGTGCCAGGTTTTCCCAGAATTCTGGGGGTCATCAACACATGACAGAGTTGAGTCCATGGAAAATTTTCACATTTGTCTGTGGGGAATGGATTGCATGCCATCTTATGTTCACTATGTCCAGGAAACCCTCCAAAGGACAAAACTAGAGGTCACCATCAAAAATGGCTCAGTGTAGTCCTCATCCTGAGCATATGCGATGCCACCTACCATTTAGAGGACACTGAGTGGTATCAGTGGGCAGCTCATTTCAGCTATGATATATGGGAAACCCCCCCCCACACACCACATCACTGTCCACCTAGGCATTTGACTTTGAAGAGGTTATATACATCAGGCTAGTCCATGTCTAATCAAAAAGTGAGCTGTTAGCTCAGTGATGGTGGCTCAAACCTTTAATCCCAGCACTCGGGAGGCAGAGGCAAGTGGATCCTTTGAGTTTGATGCCAGCCTGGTCTACAGAGCGAGTTTCAGGTCAGCCAAGGCAACACAGAGAAATCCTAGCTCATAGAACAACAACAACAAAAAGCTAGCTGTTCATGTCATCTAGTCTCCAGAGCTAGGGTGTACAATGACTCTGGGAACGAGAGATCCAGGGCTGCATTAGACAGGTTGAGAGAAAACTCATCCATTTTGCAGGATGGGGACAGGCTTTCCTGTTGAACTATGGTGGCCTATCCAGCACAGAGAACAGAGAGGGGCAGTAGCCAGAAATGATGGCAGCAGTGGTCTAGCTGTCATCCCTACTCATGGAGAAAGTGAACTAGTTCATTAGTAATATGTGCAAAAAGAATCTACAGAACATAATCAGAGCTAGTAAGTTAGTTCAAGAAAATCACAAAGGACACACCAGCACACATCACAAGAAATGAACTCACCATTTAACTGCACACCAGCCATGTCCAGGGAGGACATCAGATAAGAGCATCGACTCAAAAGCACATCACAGGAGAGTAAGTAGATGCAGCCATTCAAACAGCCATCAATGCTGTTACTGCCTTGTCCCCTGCTCTCCACAGTGTACCTAACGTTCCCTCCAGAAGACTTCAAAGAAATGTAAACAATGGGTAAGAAATTGAACATGCAGCTTAAAAACCAAGAAAGCCAAGAGATGCAGAAATGGCAGTTCATGAGTTAAAGGACCATAACTTTTTAAGTTGGTGACATGGGAATCATTCTGCACACTCCACATGATTACTGTGGTAGACAACAGTGGGAATGCTTATGTCAATGTCCCTAGGCGGTTTCAAAGTACCCACAGGACAATCCAGATCGGGGATAGGGAGATTCTGTCAGTATGCTGCCTGCTAAGAAAACACAGGGACCAGAGTCTGGATCTCCAGTATTTACATAAAAAATGCTATGGTCATGTGCAGATGATGCCCAATGTGCTGTGTTGCCTTTTATGGTGATTATTGTTGTTTTCAACTTGATACAGGTAGGGTCAATTGTTAGAGGAAATAATAGTTGAGAAAATGTCTCTATCAGATTGGCCTGGAGGTAAGTCTGTGGAGCATTTTCTTTATTACTGAATGCTTTATATGAGAAGGTTCAGCTCACTGTGGGCAGTGCCACTCATGCACTGGTGTTTTGGGGTGCTATAAGAAAGCAAGTTGGGCAAGCCATGGGGAGCAAGGCAGTCAACAGTCTTCCCTCATGGCCTCTGCTTCAGTTCCTACCTCCAGGTTCCTGTCTGCATTTCTGTCCTGACTTCCCTTCATGATGGACTGTAACCTGTAAAGAAATAAATGCATGCTTTCCCAAAGTTGTTTTTGTTCACTGTTCTATCACAGCAAGAGAAAAGAAAACTAAGACACCCTAGGTGACAGCAGGTCTCCAGAGCTCACTGGTCAGCAGTCTTGTCAATTGGTGAGCACTGCATTCAGTGAGAAAATGTGGTTCAATGAAAACTAGGAGTAGAGGGAATAAGGAAGACTCAAACTCCTGCTTCCACCCACATGGACACCACATGAACACAAACACACATGTTCACACATACACAAGGATACACCACACATACACAAGGCTACACACACTCACTCCACACCTGTGAATGGACACATACACACACATAGACCACACATACACATACTTACATGTGTGTGTACGCACACACACACACACACCAAAACACGTGTATGGATACAAACATACCCCCCCCCCTCACACACACACATACACACAGAGAGAAAACAAAACAACTAGATCATGGCCAATTTCAATCCCACCTCAAGCAGCTATTACCAGCTAAGTGGGATCAACTGTCAAGAAGACAGCCAAAAGGATCAATGGAGCTGAAGCAAGAGTGCAGAAACTGAGAGAATGGTCCTGGGGTGCAGTGTTGACACAGGGTCTCACTGTGTAGTACCGGCTCACTTGGTGTTCACCTTGAAGTCTGTGCTGGTCTTCATCTCCAGATCTCCAGGTTGGATGGTCCTTTCACAAGGGTCACTTAAGACCATCAGAAAACACATATATTTACATTAAGATCCACAACAATAACAAATTTAGGGTTATGAAGTACCAATGAAAATACTATTATGGCCAGGTTTACCACAGCATGAGGAACTAAACTAAAGGGTCACAGCATCAGGAAGGTGGAGAACCACTGCTTTACATGGTAGGATTACAGGTGTGCACCACCATACCTAGAAAAATCCATTTATTCTTCTGGTGGAATGTTCTCCATCATGAGAGCTGCTTCTACCATTAGTGACTTGGCCCTGCATAAAGCTGTGGACACTTGGGTTAAAAGACTAGACAGAGGCCATGGGCTCCACACAGCCAATGAGAACAGAAGGTCTGAGAGCAAGAAAGGGTTAATGAAGAGATGATGGGACCCAAGACCAGGCTCCAAAGATCAAGTGGCAGTGATAATCAAAACGTCAAGTGGGTTGCTGAGATGTATGTGAGGTTTTACTTCTCTGTCTTGTGAGACCTCTCAGGTAAAAGTGCAACTTAAAGCCAGAAGAAGACTCCTTCCCTTCACCCCACCCAAGGTTACAGAAGTGTAAACACCTGGTGGGGGAGGTGACCCTGACCTAGCTGGCTACCTGCAAATAATATTAGGTTTGGGGACCCAGGAAATGGAGGATTGGAAGCCCAGCAAATTTCCAAGCCATTTCTGATCCCTTTTCTGGACATTTACAGGCTCTGTTTAAGAGATCAATGACAGTTCTCACAGTTTATAAAGAAAGAAACACCATTCCTGACAGCAAACAGTTCTCTAAAATGGTGTCTCACAACACAATAGAGTGTATTGACCTGGGTAGCATAAAGTGTCAACTTGTCACAGCTAGAGTCATCTGAGGGGAGACCCTCCAATGTAGGATTGGCCTAGATCAGATGGGCCTCTGGATATGTCTGTGAGGGACTCTTTGGTTGTAGGTTGATGTAGGAGGGCTCAGCCCACTGGGGGAGGTACCATTCCTAGGCATGTGGAAATCAGCTGTATAAGAAACCTAGCTGGGTATAAGCCAGCCGGCAAGTCGAGAGTAAGCAGCTTTCTATATGAGCCTTGCTCTAATTTTTGCTTGTGAAATGTGATCCTTTAATGGAAGTAATGCTATGTGTGCCAGCAAGCAGATGCACCTTCAGATCCTGCTTTGACTACACTCAGTGTTGGACTGTAACCTTCAGTCCTAAGATGAATAGATGCTTTCCCCCCTTAAGATGCTTTTGGTCAGAGGTTTGCAGATTTTCTTTTTCTGTTTTCAGTCACAGCAAGAGAAGTGCAAGTGGAATATGTACAGGGCTGAATTGAAAGCAGATGAAAATTCCTCTGGCACTCTAGGAAAGCAGCATTCAGCATCTGCCATTCCAAAGCAAAGGTCACAAAGAGAAACATCCAGACCCAAGGCAGCTTTCGTTGAAACTCTGGTTCTTGGCACCATAGATTCTCTCTCAGTGGATACTCAACAGGCCTTACAGAAAAAAGAGCCCCTTTCATCTCAGGAGAGAGGTAAACCCATAGAAGCTATGAAGACAGTGAGGTATCAGTGAGTGTTCCCACCAGAGCCACACACAGAACTCACTTAAACAGGGAAACAGTGAGCTTCATCCCCTGATATTATTATTTTAAGTGTACGGGTGCTTTGTCTACAGGTAAGTCTGTGCACCACATGCATGATTGGTGCCCAGGGAGGACAGAAGGCACTGGATGCCCAGGACTACAGTTAGAGGTAGTTATGAGCCATCATGTAGGTGCTGGGAGTGGAATCCAGGTCCTCAAGGAGGGCAGGCAGTGCTCTGAACTGCTGAGCCATCTCTCAGCCTCTCTCCTAACTTTTTGATTGTTTGCTCTTGAGACAGGGCTTCTCTGCAGACCAGCATGGCCTCAATCCAGAGATCTGCCTGTCTCTACCTCCTGAGTGCTGGCCTTAAGGGCCACCATGTCTGGATATCTTTCTCCTAGGTTTTCACAACTTACTTCAATTGCCTGAAATTTGAATTCTTCCTGATTCTATTTGGAAATCAAACTCTGTGGATACTGTCGAAATCAGGAGGTGGGGACCCCATCCACTTTTAAAAGTTTTTTTTTAAAAAATAATAGCTACCTATGAAGGCACATGATAGTTATAAAAAAGTAAAAAGAAATTAAAGTTTTAGAAAACAGAAAATTTCTCATACTTTTGGATTGACATGATTAAAAGATGAAACTGTCTATACTGTCAAAATCTATCTATTGATCTTGGTAATTCTTGTGAAAATTCCATTGATATTGCTCACACAAAAAGAGAGAAAAAAACTATAATTCATATAATGGTAAAAAGACCCTAAAAAATAATCCAAAGCAGGAAAAAAAACACTGCGGGTTATCAGAATATTTGATCTCAAGACTTGGTTCTAAGTGGCAGGAACAGCATGGCACTGTCAGAAAACAGAAGAGTAGACCAGTGGAATAGACAGAGGACACAGAATTGAAGCCACACAGCTTGTAGCCACCTTGGTCTGTAACAAGATTTTTGTTTTTTATTTATATGTCTGTGTCCAGGTGTATGGCAGTGAATGGGAGTGCCCTTGGAGGACAGAAGAGGACTTTGGATCCCCTGGAGCTAGAGCTACTTACTGGTGGTTGTGAGTTGACAGATTGGATACTGGGAAGCAAACCTGTATCCTATGTCAGTGCAGAAAGTTCTCCTAACCATTGAGCCATCCTTCCAGGCCAAAACATACTTTTGACAAAGATGCCAAAAACATACATTGGGGAAAATGATATTTTTTGAGTAAGTAGTTCTGGATATTCACACATAGAGGATGAAATTAGATTCTCATCTCTCCTCCAACCAAAAGTGCAGTTCAAATTAGACAAAGACCCTAAGGTGAGACCTGAAACCACTAGAGAAAAAGCTACAGAAAACAGCTCAATATATGGGCATATGCAAGAACATTCTGAGAAGAAATCCAGTACACAATATATTCCAAGAACTCAACAAATAGGCCTCCAAAAATTAAGAATCATGCTCCAATAGCAAGGAAGCAATCCCCAGCATAAAGAGACAGCCTGGCAAATGGGAGAAGATCAGTCCATAGATTAATATCTAGGCTCTGTAATGAATTTCAAAACTTGAATATCAAAAAAATCTTCCAATTAATAAATGGACAAGTGAATTGAAGAAATACAACTATAATTTACAGAAACTCCATAAACATTTGAAAAAAGGGTGAATACCACAATCCACTCGAAAATACAAATTAAAATTGTGTGGTGATACTATCTCATCATAGTCAGAACTGTCATATTAAGGAAACAAAAGCTTCCAGGGAGGAGGTGGAAGAGAGCTCTTATACTCTGCTGGTCAGAATGGGAACTGGTGCAGCTGCCATGGGAATCAATATGGAGGGCTGTTGGTGACTTTCCTCAATTCTTTGACCAAATATCTGAGAAAGGAACTTGAGTGAGGATGGTATATTTATTTGGGCTCCTGTTTAAGAGTTCAGTCCATCCTGATGGGGAAGGAGTGGTGCAGGTGTCTCAAGTGGTTGATCACATTGTCTCTTTGGTCAGAAAGCAGATGAATCCTGGTGCTCAGCATCCACTTCAATTTTGAAGCAGTCAGGAACCCCATCTCATGAGAAGGTGCTGCCCAGACTCAGGGTGGGTCTCCCCTGCTCAGTTTACCCTCTCTGGAGACAGCCTCACACATACACACCCAGAGGTGTGGCTCTCAGGTGATTCCAAATGTATCCAGTCTGAGAGGAAGATCAATCATCACAGGAGGTTAACAATAACAAAGCACTAAAGCTGTCATACTGTCCAGCGGAGCCACTCCAGGGTCTATACAAAATGAATCTAAGTCACATTGTCACAATGCATACATCCACACCCCCGTTCAGTGCACCCACACTGCTGCACTGTTCACAGCACTGTGGAACAAAAGATGTCACACCTAACAATGGGATACCTGCTGAGGAAAGCTGCAAACAGGGAGTGGAACCAGCCCAAGAGAAAGAAGTATGTTGCCGTCAACAAAGCTAAAAGCAGTTAAGAGATCTGAAGAGCATTTTGACATCGGACACGGAGATAGAGAGTGTGGAGTTTGCCCATCTGGTTATTGGTCTTGCTTTTGTCCAGTGTTTCCTCACTCTACTCCCTTCCCTACATTTTGGAATGCTAATGTATATTTATGTCATTATGTATTTTAAGTAAGTAATCTATTCTTTGATGTTGATTTTATAGGGGATTACTGTTAGGAGATTGCATGAACCTCAGAAGGGTGAGTCTTGGACTTGGAAACATTGTTGATACTGTGATAGACTATGGGAACTTTTGAAGTTGGACTAAATGCATTTTGTATTATGATATTTTTACAAGCTTTTGGGGGGCAGGGAGTGGAACTCCGTAGTTTGAATGTAACTGGCCCCCATTAGCTCCTAGGGAGTGGCACTACTAGGAAGTGTGGCTTTGGTGGAATAGGTATGGCCTTGTTGGAGGAAGTGTGTCACTGTGGAGTTGGGCTTTGAGGTCTCATATATGCTCAATCCATGAAAGTGAGACAGACCACTTCCTGTTGCCTGCACAAGATGCTGAACTATCAGCTACCTCTCCAACACCATGTCTGCCTACAGGCCACCAATCTCCTCATGATGATAAACTCTGAAACTGTAAGCCACCCAGTTAAATGTTTTCCTTTATAAGAGTCATCATGGTCATGGTGTTTCTTCACAGCAATAAAAACTCTAAGACACAACTTGTAGAATACATTTTTGCTATTTGTGTGTATACAGTTTCAGGGCTGACCACTCTGCATTAGACATTGAATAAGGGGTTCAACCCTGGGAGAAACTAATTCTCCTCTCAGCAGTCATTAGGTGCCTGGGTCCTTTGTCTAGGGGTGTTCTACATCAACATGTCCATTGATACTGCCATTGTCCCGGTCTTGTTTATATAGTCATTTTTAGGAGAAACTGTTGCAGAGCAAACTTCCTGGTATTTTAGCTTTCACAACCTCGCTTCCATATTGGTACCTGTTCAGAGACACAGCTGTGATGTAGATGTATCCGTTGGTACTGGTCTCCCCATGACCCACTGGTTTATTTCCGCATTGTGTCCAGTTGTGGTTTCCTGTGATGGTCTCCACATTTTTTGTAAAGGGAAGAGTCTGAGATGAGGGATAGTAGCTTCACTTATCTGTGGATATAAGGATAAGATTTCAAGTGTAGAAAGGAATTATGCTAGTCTAGAAAAGTTGTGCTGGTAGATTCTTTTCTAAGGTCCATGACCTCACTAGCTCTGGGAAGCTACTCTGACTAATAACAGCTTATGAAAGAATTTATATTGACTTACAGTTTTATCTTCAAAAGCAAAAATAAAGCAGAGAGGATGAGCTGGAAGTGAAGCAAGGCCATTCGTGCTCAAAGTTCATCCTTTGTTACGTACATCCACCAACAAGGTTCTACCTTTTACAGTTTCCCTACACAGTGTCACCAAATGGGGACCAAGTGTTCAACTATGGGAGCCTGTGGGGGACGTTCGTGAGTCCAGCCTGATTTCATAGTGTCTGTACTAGTTTATGCCTCCACCCACAGCGCATAAGAGTGTTCTTTTCCGTAAATCCACATCACTATTGCTTGTCACTTGTATTCCTGATCATAGCCATTCTGCCTGGAGTGAGATGGAATCCTGAAGTAGTTTTAATCTGTGTTTCCTTCATAGCCAAGGACATTGAATATTTTTCAAACTGTTTATTAGCTGATTGGGATGCACAACTTTAATCCCTGCACATGGAAGCCAGGGGAAAGTGGCTATCTGTGAGTTGCAGGCCACGGCTGGTCTGCACATGGTGAGTGCTAGGACAGTCAAGAAGTTCGTAGAGAGACTGTATCTCAAAAAAAAAAAAAAAAAAAAAAAAGAGAGAGTTTACTAGCCATTTGTAATTCTTTCTGAGATTATAATATCAGGAGCCTATGTTTAAAAAAAAATCTGTAAACTTAATAGTAAAATATGGATGGAGTGCAGAATGTTCTTTTCCCCAGGTAGCTTTCTAGAAAAAAAAATGTATAAACCATAAGTGAATGCACTTGAAAGCAAGGACATGAGGGAACGGCATGGCATGTACACATTACCTCTACGGAAAAGGAAAAGGCCTGGGTGGGATACTCTTGGCTCCGTTCATATGACCAAAGATGATAAGACATACCACCAGCTGAATTCCCTCAGTGCCCTTCTATTTGCTTAGGTTAACTGTAAAAGTCACCTCACATTTCTCTTGCTTTAAGAATAAAAGTGTGGGGCTGGAGAGATGGCTCAGAGGTTAAGAGCACTGGCTGTTCTTCCAGAGGTCCTGAGTTCAATTCCCAGCAACCACATGGTGGCTCACAACTATCTGTAATGAGATCTGGTGCCCTCTTCTGGCCTGCAGACATACATGTGGGCAGAACATTGTATACATAATAAATAAATAAAAATCTTTAAAAAAAAAAAGAATAAAAGTGGGAAGTGCTTTGTTCACATCACTCTTAAGTCTGGAGTCCCCTGGTAATCCCTTATAGATCTTTTCACAGACCTATATTGTGAAGAGATTTAGCCTCCCTGGCCAGGGAAGGTAAACAATATAACATTTCTCCTTTCCTTTTCTCCCTCAGAACCCTTCCAATATATCAATCCCTGCTCTCCACCGATTCATGGCTTCTTTTTTCATTAACTATTATTGCATGCAAATATGTACATACATATACACATGTATATTTCTAAATATAGCTACTTCAGTCCCTGTTACTTGTATGGATGTTTTCAGGGCTGACTATTTGGTACTGGACAAGCGACTGGTGTGCTCTCTCCATTCCCAGCTTCCCTCAGTTGCCTGTAGTTTTTTATGTGGGGTTGAGGCCTCATGGGCTCTTCTCCGCCCATGTTGGTCTGGCCATTGGTGTCCTCATTGTTCATTCTTAAGCAGTCATGTTAGTGAGACTTTATGGGCATAGCTTCTGACCACACTAGGAGACACAACCTCACAACAAACTTCCTGATGCTCGGCCTCTTACAATCTTCCCATCCCCTCTTACTAAATTACCCCTGAGCCTTAGATATGGAAGTGTTGTATACATGTATCCATTGGGACTGAGCTCTACAACTCTGCATATTGATTGATTGTGTTTTTCTGTAGTGGTCTCCATATGTTGCAAAGAGAAGTTGCCTTGATGAGCAGTGAGGACCACACTTATCTGTGGGCATAAGGACAAATGTTTACAGATTGTTGTTAGGGATGATGCTGGTTTAGCAAATTAGTGTCTGTAAATTCTCCACCAATAACCATGACCTCACTAGCACTGAATAGTTAGGTTTGTTTCCTATATCAAGCATGGTTGCCCTCTTGTTGAGCAGGTCTTAAGTCCAATGAATCCAATTTAGTCCAAGGTACACATGTCACAACTGCACCCGGGTTGTCATGCCATGCTGGTTGATGCAGTTCACAGGTGTCAGAGCTGGGAAGGACTGTGGGTTGTCTCCCATCTCTGGAATCTCGCATGGTGCTTTCTGGTACCAGGAAATCTAATCCAAAGGGAACAGAAATGCAGGTCAGTTCTAGCTCTGGGTACCACAGCCATTTTATATCCTGGGTTAAACAACAGTATCCTCTTTTGGAAACAGTGCCTTTTCAGCTGTTTCCAAGGGCAGAGTGCTTTTCATCCCAGTGCTGCTTTGCTCTTCTCCTCTCTCCTGCTACAAAGTAGAGAGAAGAGGGATGGAAAACAGGGAGTTTGGAGGACACTGTGAGACATACGTGCTTGGGTCTGTGGGAAAATCTCACCTCTGGAGCCAGCTTCAGTGAGTTGACAGAGCACAGGACAGTTTCCTAACACAAGGCATTCATTCCACTGTAAAACTGAAGAAGCAGAGAAGCGAGAGAGAAGGAATCCAGTTGCTTGCTGTGCTGTGTATTGAGACTGAGGAGACAAAGGAGGTAAGGATTTTTGCCCCACCAGAGGATTATCAGGGACAAAACTTGACTCTGAATTGTAAACGTCCGATATCTTCATATTTTGTAAGATCATGCCACACAGCTTCCAGAAGCCACGATCAAAGAGGATCAAGCCAACAAAAATATCTGCCTTTACCCCTGGGTAACTTGAGATACTCTCTGGCTATACTTGGGGTGAGGGCCAAACTGCTTGAAGGCCTGTACCTGCAATTAGTGTGTGTCTACACCTGGGAGAAGACAGCCTGAAAAACTGGAGGAATAAATAAATGCCTTTTCACCTACAAACAAACAGCACTATGATTCATACTCCTTATTCCATCTTCCAGTTTATGTTTGGGCCAGAATTAACTATAGAAAAATATCAGGCCTTTTTTTTTTTATGGCTTAGGACAGTCTAGGGGTTACCTATTGCCACTCTGTGAGGCAACAACAAACATCTATATTGGAATATCTTCCATCTCTTCTTTGCCTTCCTCTCCAGAGAGTCCTCTGATAGTTTCCTCTTTTCTTCCTTTCATCCCCTTGTGAGCAACCACTAGGAAAGGGAAGGCTGCTGTACTCTCTGGCAGAACTCTTAGATCCCTGTATCCTGCCCTCTCTCCTTAGGGACCACACTGAAGGGAGCCTATAGACACCAGTCACTCATGACTTCCCACACTGTGACCTTGATGAATCCTTTCAGATGAATCCTGGTGTGCAATTTGCTCTCTCCTTTTCATGCAGACATGTCCTCCAATCCATGGAATAATGCCACCCACATTTACCGTGGGTTTCCCCACCTCAATTAATTTAATCTAGAGAAATCTCACGGACAAACCTAAAGGCTGGTCTCCTACATGATTCCAGAGCCTTTCAAATTAACAATCTTAAGAAGCACAAGAATTATCTCAGCCAATTAATTAATTTTTAGAAGGACAGAGTCAACATGCCAGCATTTTGCAACTCTGATAAACTAATGGATCCAGATATACATTCCCAATTACTATTCACGACGCAACAAATTTTGTACATCTGACAGAATTACATCACCTAGGAACTATTTGTTCCACATATGCCCGCTAGTTGGGACATCTTAAAAAATTAGGAAACAAACTGATCAACGAACACCTGTGTTCAAACGCCTCACTCCACACAGGGCAGCGCTCTGAGGCTCCTGGAGCTGCAGGCAAAGGCCAGAGACCCGCACACAGGAAACTAACTTCCTCCTGGAGGCTGAGGAGGAAGAGGAAGTGCCTCTTCCATGTAACCTTGGAAACCTGGGGAGGCATTCTCGGGAGGCTTTCCCTTAGCACCACCCTTAATCTGCTCTGGCAGCCTCAGAGGCGGAGCACCCCGGACTCCTACATAGCAGCGGTGACCCGGGGTCATTTTGACGATGGAGGTAACGGTGGTGGGGCAGGGAGCTAACGGTGGTGTCGCTCTGCCCCTTTGGTCTGCATCACTCAAGGAGGGGGAGGGAACGGCCAGCAGGCTGTCCCCGCTTCCGCGGCTCAGTGCCAGCCGCTGCGCTCAGCGTAGAGCCCGGTGCTGGCACGTGCCAGGGCGAAGGTCCCTGGTTCTTGATCCTGAAGGGGCTCTTCCTTGTCACAAGCTCTTTTGGCTGAACTCTTGTGACGATTTGGTTTTGCAGGGCCCTCTTCAAGATGGGGTGGCTGCGGGATGCACCCTCCGGGACCAGAAAATCCAAGGTGAGGAGAGCATTCCACTGCCAGGTTCCCTGTAGCACGGAAGGGTAATGAATTGGAAAATTCGGGCATGGGGAGAAGGATTTCTTCTTTAAAAGAAGCACCCTTCCTTTCCTCAGGGATTTCCATTTCAATTTATAATCACCCATTGATTTCCTGTTTTGTTTTGTTTTTTTAATTTCCTGATGTGCAAGCAGTTTGTTTCTTTCCTGCTCCTTGTTAGTGCTATCCCGAGAGATCCTGCTGTATTTCAGACATTTAACTAGTCTGTTTTTTTTGTTTTTTGTTTTTTTTTTTTTTGGTTTTTTGAGACAGGGTTTCTCTGTGCAGCTTTGCGCCTTTCCTGGATCTCGCGCTGTAGACCAGGCTGGCCTCGAACTCACAGAGATCCGCCTGTCTCTGCCTCCCGAGTGCTGGGATTAAAGGCGTGCGCCACCACCGCCCGGCTCTGTTTTATGAAAGTTTACACAGTGACGCGATGAAGAGGACTAGATAAAGGGAAGAGTCAAGGAGTTATATCGTGTTGACTCAGCTTCATAGTCAAAGGAGGGTTGAATAAGGTCCTTCTTACAGCCCTGTGAAATGTTTAATGCTCAATGATTCTGAAAGGTAGTTGTTTATTACCAAAATGTTTCATTTGCTTACTGGGTTCCAGGCATTTGCCTAAGCTCCCGATTCTGTCACTTACGCTTCGTGAGCTAAGTTCCTTTATTATCTTATTCTACAGATGAGGAAACGGAAGGCACAAGGATTAAGTAGTCTTCAGAGTTAGTAAAGCCTAAGATTTTAGATAAAGCCTAAATGGCCCTCCATTCATGTGCGAATGTAGTTATGTTTGTTATCATGTGCACATGGATGACTTTTCAGCTTCCAACAGAATGAATTTTACAGCTCTACAAATCTCTAGGTCCAACACCCACTCGTACACTTAGAGAACTTCATGGTATCTGTAAGAGTTTTATGCTGGGGTTTTTGTTTGCTTTTTGATTCTTCTGATTACTTAAAGTTGTTGAAGTTATACTTGTTAATTTTAGAAGTATGGTTGCCTTGAATGTTGAGCGTGTTTTTGTTTTAGGCAGACGTTGTGTTTCTTTTGGGGGACACAATGGATGCATGGGTTACAAAAGTCGATCATATGACAACTACTTCAGCTGGAAACGTTGCCCAGAGAAGATCTCATCACGTTTGCCAAGAAGCAAGTGATGCTACTACAGAAAGTAAAGCAAGGTGCACAGGTACTAGGTTTGATATTACAGTGTTTTGTTTTGCTTTTTTTTTTTTTTTTCATTACCTAACATGAAATCTAGAATGTGAGCTTGAGAGCAAGCATTACTTCTCCATGGTCTCTGCTTCCAGGTTCCGCACAAGTTTTACCCTGACTTCCCTCAATGATAGACTGACCTGGAAGTGCAAGATAAAATAAAACTTTTATTTCCCATGTTGCTCTTGGTCAGAAAAGGAACTAGAATAGATAGTTAATCTTCATGCCAAATTCGACTGGATTTAAAATCACCTAGGAGACACACACCTCTGGATGTATGTTTTGGAGAGTAGGCTGGGCTCATATTCAGTTTCCTTTCTTATACAGCCCATGCCACCTGCCTAAGGTTAGTACCACCCACAGTGTTGGCAAGGCCCTCCTCCATCAATTAGCAATCAAGCAAATGCCCTACAGACATGCCCACAGGCCAATCAGATGGAGGCAACTCTTCAGTTGAGGTTTCCTCTCCCCAGTCTTGTCAAGAGTCTCCTGTTGTTTACAGCTGCAGATGCCAGGCTAGCTTCATGGGATTCCCCTGCCTCTGTTTCCCATCCTGACAACAGAGTGCTACCACATCCAGCTTTACACAGGTTCTGGGGATCTGAACTCAGGTCCTCATGCTTGTGTGCCAAGTACTTTACCCACTAAACCATCTCCTCGGCCCACATTTTTAAAAAATGGTACTAGAGGTAGAACCCAGGGCTTTGAGCAAGTTCTACAAGCATTGTACTCTTGAGCTGTATGCTCTGCCCTCTTTTTATCTTGTATTTAAGACAAGGTCTCACTAAGTTCCCAGGCTATCCTTGAATTCACACTGTTGTTGTCTTGGTCACTTTTCTGTGGCTGTGATAAAACAGCATGACCAGGGAAAGACATAGAATGAAGGGTTGATTTAAGTTTATGGTTCTAGAGAAATAAACACCCATGATGATGGAGCTGAGTGACAGATGACAGGCACAGAGGCTAGAGCTGGAGCTGAGGGTTCACACCTCACAGCACAAGCTGAAAGCAGAGAGAGCGACTTGAGCTATTGATTCCCTTACCTCTGCTTCCTGAAGAGCTGGGATTGTAGACCAGCAGCAGCACTGGGCACAGCCCTATGCCACAGATTGTCTGTTCTTCCAACTGTGACAGACACTTGGTTTCTTTCCAGTTCGGGACTGTTTCCTGTCTGCTAGGTGCCAACCTCACCTTCCCTCTTCTGACTGCAGAAGCTGTCTCCAGACATTGCAAAATGTTCCACAGGTGTCAGATTACCTTTTTTGGAAGCTACTGGTTTAATCCCCAAGCCCTGTGCCTCACACCACTTCCTTGCTCTCTTGTGATTGTGAGCTCTCTGCTTCCTGTATTGGCTGCCATGTCTTCCTGTTGCATGCATTCTTATCTGTGTGGAAACATAAGCCCAAGTAAAATCCTCCTTTCATAAACTGCCTTGGTCACAATGTTTTAACATCATGGGAATAGGAAAGTAACTAATACAGAAGTTAATATCAGGGATGAAGTATTGCTGTTGAAAAGACTGGCCATGTTGTTTTTGTTTGTGTTTTAGAGGAATGTGAAGACTTTAGGACTTTGGACTAGAAAAGTGGTTGGACACTGTAAGTAGAGATTAAAGGGTCATTCTAATAGGATCCTAAAGGCAGTAAGTAGTGCTGAGAGCCATGTGGACTAGAGAGGCCCAGCTCAAGGGGTTTCAGAGGGGAATGATGTCAGCAAACAGACTAGAGGCCATTCATGGGATACTTTGGCAAAGAATCTGACTGCCTTCTGCCTGTGACCTGAGAACCTACTTATGGCTAAATTTAAAAAGAAAAAAAATATTGCAAACTTAGCATTCCATCCCAGGTATGTGCTGGAACAGAGGCTGTGATTGTTAAGATTAGTGACTTCAATGATCTGACCGGAACAAACGAAAGAGTTCTCCCAGGCCAAGACCCCACACAGCACTTCTGATTTGTAAAAGGAAAAGGCCTAAAGCATTTTCTGCTCCTAGAAAGCAACTACAAACGAAAGCTGCTGCCAGTGTGGTTCAGGGAGATGAGGGTCCAACCCAAGCTGGCTGCAGAACTTGGCAGTGCCACCTCCTTGGCGCTGGCATCAGCATGAAGGATGTAGGAGTAATGGGGTCATAGATTATTGCTCTGTGGTTTCAGAGAACAGAGGCCAGACAGCATGTGGCAGGGGAGTCCCCACATGATGGCCCTGAAATGTCAGGAAGTCCTAAGAGGCCATCGTGTGAAGTGAAAGATATTGGAGGTATCAGAGCTATGGGATATCTGCCAAAGAGAGCTTCACAAAGAGGGTGGAAAGAGCCTGAGAAAGAGGTACTGATAAGTAAAATATGCCCAGGTAGTGAGTAACTCCGCCCATGCACTAAGCCTAATCAAACCGAATTAAAGTCCAGGTTTTAAAATGAGCAAAGCATTCTCGGGTGGTCTCAGGGGAAGAGGGGAAACTACCAGACAAGTCTATGTGCCGGACCTTAAATACCCTGTAGGAAAGGTCTTGAGTAGCTCTAGGGAAGGAGCCGACCCTTGGCCAGCATTACACCTGGAAAGCACACAAGACTGGACATGACCCTAATGGCCTGCTTCCAAAGCAGCATGCATCTGCCACCAAGATGAAGATGTGTTATTGCCTCATGAGGTAAAATAGAGTAGACAGAGTTAGGAAGCTTCTTCGACTGTGTCTAATTTCCTTATGAAAAGTCTTGCGGGCCACAAGAATATATCATAGAGATTCAGCTGTGTATTAAAGCTGAACTTTGACCAGCCAAGGGTCTGTCAAAAGGCAAAGCCATTTATTATGAATATTTGGTGTTACCCAGCCTTTAATATTTCAGCTGTCTTCTGCTGTGAAATCCTTGTGTGCCCAGACCTATTGGTAAACAGTTCAGCTCCCCTGACCTGCTGAACCTAAGTTACTAACTGCCCTGCTGACAAGCTGGCAGAGAAGCATAGCTTTGTTTCCTGTGCTAATGAAGCTCAGGCCATCCCCTGGCCTTGAGGAGGCCTACTGGTTCTCCAGAGCACTTTAAATGAGAACAAAAGAGCTTTTTACATATCAAGGTGGGAGATAAAACAACATTCCTGAGGTGGTAGGCAATGAGGTGCCCAGGGAAAGAAAAGGCAGGCATATTCTGTAGACAGGGACAGAACCGCATGGCTAGAGAGAAGAGAGGAAGACAGAGGTTCCATAGAGGGTAAGCAGATCTCAGGTAGAGTTCTCTGAGTGCCAGGAGTAGAGTGTAAGG